GCTCAAGTGGTAGAGTGCTAGCCTTGAGCTGAAGAGCTGAGGGACAGCGCCCAGGCCCAGAGTTCAAGCCCCACGACCGACAAAAAAAAACAAAAAACAGATAACATACCTATAATTTTTATTACTAAAATATTAATAATGATATATACACTGGTCATAGTGAGCCAGAATCTCCCAAATACACTGTCAGAATCTATTTTCTTAAAACTACATGATGTGTCTTTATAAGATATGATGTTTAAGCCCAATAAAAAGAACTCCTTTTTCCATTGGACATTAACTTAATGCTAGAGTAAATAACACTCGGTGCTATTTAAACAAAAATAATCTTCTTGCTACCTAACCCGTGTTAGCATGTGAAGTTTGGCACAGGCTGATATTTATGATTTTTCTGGATCAGTGTGACCAATTCTCAGCCAGTGAACAAACTATGTTCACTGCCATATTTGCTTTGCTACTTTCTTTAGGCATATGTCAGCAGTAGTATCTTGCTAACTACATCTGTTTATCTTTAAAGTCCAAATATAATGTCATCCAAATTCAGAAAGTGCACTTGGGGCTGAAACCTGCAGATGTGAAACAACTATTCTGTGGGTACATGAAAGTTTAGGACATGTGGAAGATGTTACAGCAGGAATGAAAGAATTTGGATAGAAACGGAACTGGAAGTAATTATAATTTAGCTCAGGAAAACCAACAGATTTCACCAAGGGTTCAAATGCTATTCTGTGTCTAAGAACTTAGCTGTCATCTGGGTCACTTCTACTGTGAGCTGAAAAATGACTACCGAAGATCACAGACTTGCTTCCCCTACTTCTTGCCAGGACAGATTTCTCCAGCCTCATAAGGGGTGATTTCAGTAGAAGAGCGTGTTCTTCTACATAGGATGGTAATGAGTTCTGTGAGTGGGAGTGGAGGTCAGGTAGAGCTTAAAGGCCCTCCAGAAAATCTCTCAGTTGTGGTCACCTCCAGATCAAGAGGTCTAAAGTCACTCTTGATTTGGTCTTGCTTTGTTCCTTCTACCTTGGGCCTGTTCATATTTTCTTCTTGTAGCCATTCTTTTTTGTGAAATGGCAACTCCATCTTTCTGGTTGCTCATGTGAAAAATGTGGAGTGCTGATGATTCTCTTGTTCTTCCACACCCCATGTCAACTCTATCAATGAACATTTTAGCTTGCTTTAAAAGTAAATTGAAGCTGAGGGTAGAGCTTGATGATAGAACATATGCTTAGCATCCTTAAGACCTTGGGCTGAATCCCTAGCACCAAAAATACATGTGTTCATATATACATATGTGTATATGAATACATACGTTTACATACATACACATACATGCATGTATACACACACATATCGCTCCAGAATTTGGCCAATTCTCATTGTTTCTGCCATTGTTCCTCTGATCTAAGCCACCTTCTTCTTCCACCAGCATTTCCATAATATTCCTGCTTTTGTCCTTGCTGTCCTAAAGATCATTTTGACATACAGCTGGGAAAATCAACTGTTGGTTTTCTTGAGCTACAAAGGAAATTGTGTTTCCTCTGCTCAGAAGCCTGCAGTGGTTGGATTCTTATTCTCCCAGAGTAAAAGCTAAAGCCCCCAGAGGTGCCTACCTAATGTAATCCTAATAAGATCAACCTTCTTATCTCACTTTCTGGCAACTCTGTCCTGCTACCTACTCTACTTCAGCAATGCTCCCTTCTTGCTGTTCCTGTAGCATGCCAAGATTTTATTTAACTTGAAACTTTTGGTTGTTGATTCTTTTTAGTTTGGGTGTGGTGGTGCATGTCTATAATCCTAGCACTCAGGAGGCAGAAACCTAATGAATTGGATTAGGCTCCCAAAAGATTTCTCCGACCTGGAGCTTGCATTTTGAAATGCTCATTACAGGATGCACTTATGATTCATCCTTTCCCTTCTTTCAGATTTTTTAACCTCTATCTTCTCTGTGAAGCCCTGTTCTGACCACTTTGTGGACTGGAAGGCCTGTCTCTTGTTCCCCATGCCATTTTCTGGCACCATGTATTGTCCCTGTATACCTCTAAACTTTCTTCTCTAAGCCTTACCATCAACTGATACATGTTTTCTTGTTTACTCTATATTTGTTATATGTTCTTTCTAGAATGTCCCACAAGAACTGTCTCATTTCCTTACCACTATATCCCCAGTACCAACTGCATTACATTGTAGGTCCTCTATAAATACATACTGAATGTGTGTATGAATAAATGGATGAACTCGAGTTACAGGTTGGAAGTGGTCAGTTAGTTCATTGGTTAATAACCACGGACCCACAGGATGTCCTACATTTGCTGCCTCTACTTTCATCACTTATGTAATCTGGGAAAGATGCATCATTTCGGGGGGTTTCTGTTTCCTTACCTATAAAGTGAGGATAGTCACTGTACCCTTCTCACAAATTTGTGAAAGAAATTAATGAGTAATATATGTTTAGTGCATGGCAAGTTACGGAAATGTGAGGTAGGCTTTGTTACCAAGGAATGTTCTAGGTGTATAGTAGGGAGGAAATTTTCAGTCTTCCTGCATCCCAGTCACCTAGGGTTTGTTTAAAAATGTGACTTCCTGAATCCCCACCCAGACATTCAGGGAGATCTGACTTACATTTTACAAGCATTCCTTTTACAAGGCAGCCTTTTATATATTAAAGCCTTAGAAGTATATGGTAGAGGGAGGAGTACTAGAAAATGGCTAGAGAATGACTATGGTAAGCATGGAGTAGGTCAGGGTGACAGGGATTCATGGAGGCCTTGGTTTCTCACCGGTGTGTGTGGTGTATTTGGTGATCATGGCGGATGGGGAAAGAGGTATTGAAAGTAGCTGACTGCAGATTTAAGAATGATCCTGTTCTGAGAGGAGAGTTGACAGTCATGCCTAATTATTTTCTTGTGCTTGGCAGTGGGATGTTCTATGATGGGAACCACACATATCTCATTGAACCAGAAGAAAATGACACCTCCCAAGTAAGTGCAAATGTTAGTGCTGGTGTGGAAAACTTTTGTCCCCTTGCCTTCCCGTACTTCTACTTTAGTTGGTTTTTATATATTTAGGGCTTGGATAATGTAAATATGTTATGAATATATATATATATATGAGTCATTTAAATATGCTGAAATTTAAGTTAAATATTGACTAAGTCAAACCTCCAAGATTTTTTGCTTTTTCTTCTGTCTCTTCATTTTGTTAGAAATAACTTCCTGAGAGGTGTTCAAGAGCCTCTATTTCTATCTCCACTATAAGCTGCTCTGATGTACAAGCTTGTGAAGATACTACAGACTCAATGGCTTAAACAACAGATTTTTTTCCCCTCATAGTTCTGAAGGCTGTGAAGTCCAAGGTCTAGGTGCTGTTCGGGCTAGTGTCCAGTGAGAACTTCCTCCTTGGGGGAGAGATGTCTACCTTGATCATGTATCTCATATAGAGCACAAGTTGTTGTCTCTCTTCTTGCAAGGGCTCAGCCTTATCAGATTAGGGCCTTACCCTTATAACCTTAATCTACTTTTATTATGGCTTCATAAGCCCTTTCTCCAGAGGCGGTGACACAGCAAAGCTTCAGTGTATGAACTTTGGGTGGAGCACAAACATTTAGTCTGTAATATAAAAATCTTCAGAAATTTCACCTCTCCTTTCTTTTCTGGATTCTAGATGTTTCTCCCTCTCCATTGCTTTTAAAGTTCTATACTAATGAAATTTAGAGAAACTTAAGGCTTCTTAATTCTATCCTTTACTCTGAAACATCTATCAAAATTTACTTGGTGCAAATTACAAAATAATTGAGTTAATACTATAGATGACAGAGAAACTAAATAAACTTCCATTCTAGGTCTCTACACACAAATATCCTCCTTGGTATTATTCAACATTGGACAAATACTTAGAGAAATAAGGAATGCGCATTGCATTTTTCCCTATTAACAACCTTGTTTAGAAAACTTACTTGTATATTCTTTTCTGTGTCCATATCATTGGCTGTTCTGTCATTTTGCTTGGCAGTATGGTTCTTTAAAACTTGTCTCCAGCATTCTAACTTATGTTAGTACCTGGATAAAGCTAGATAATTTTTTTCGGTGTTCAATATTTTTTCTTAGCAGAAAATATGGTTTTTATCTCTTGCTTTCTAATAGGATTGTCCATGACACTTGAATTTGGGCATCCGCTTAAATTTGGACTCTGCAGTCTTTGCCTAGAGAGGTTATTTGGCTCTTAAAAGTGGGCAAGGAGCCGTGAAAGGAACCAGTCAAAGAAACATTAACCCATTTTCCCAGATGCCTTATTTTTCCTTGGGGGAATAGATCTGCTCATTTATTTTCCATTACAGTAGGCTTTGGCTTCTCTGAGAGGTATTTTGCTTGTAATTGGGTATTGTTCTGGTGCTGGGACAATTCAGACCTAAGTGGGACAGCTTGCAATGGCTCATGGCCTCTACAACCCAGGGGACTGTGTGTAGTCAGTTTTCTCTTAAGAGGCCCAGCCTCTGCAACTATGATGGCCTGGGGGCAGAGATACGTGGTTTGTAAGTATGTACTCTTGGTTGCTTGTGTCATTTCAGGAGGATTTCCATTTTCATTCGGTTTACAAATCCAGACTGTTTGAATTTCCTTTGGATGATCTTCCATCTGGTATGGTACTCATCTAGCTACTTATGTAATTCATTTAGTATCTTAAAATGAATATATATGTAAATACTAGTAACACGCAAGACATTTTTAGTTATATCAAGGTAAGTCATATCAAGAGAAAGAATAAAATGCGAACTAGCTTTATGTTTGTGGTTGAGAAATTCAGAAAAATATTGCACACTAAAACAAAATTTTAATTTAAAAAGTTAAGTCTAGGAATGGTAGTATACCTGTAATCCTAGCTACTCAGGAAGTAGAAATAGAAGGACCGAGGTCTGGAAGACCCTATCTGAAAATCAAACTAAAAGCAAAAGGACTGGGGAAGATTACTCAAGTGATAGCATTCTTGATAAGCAAGCTCAAGGGGCTGAATTAAATCAACAGTACTTTTATCCTCTCAAAAATTTTTATGGACTCAGAGTACAGAACTAGAGAAGAAATAATTTTAGAATTGATATTCATAAATAAAAAGTGCAAAATTTCACTCTTGGTAAAATAATTTTTTTTTCAGTGTGGGTCCTAGGGCTTAAAATCAAGGCCTCGGCACTATGTCTGAGCTTTTTGGCTCAAATCTAGCACTCTACCACTTGAGACACAGTGCCACTTCTAGCTCTTTTGGTAAAGTTTAATTGAAGATAAGAGTTTCAAGGGCTTTCCTGCCTGGGCTGGCTTTGACCTGTCATCCTCACATCCAGCCTTCTGCATAGTTAGGATTATAAACATGATCTATCAGCCCCTGGCTAATAATGACTTTTTAAATATAAGTAAGAACTCTTAATTACTTTCCCATTTACTGTTTTTTATCAACATTTTTTAGAATATTAAGAGAAATTCTTTAGTATATTAACTTTTTATGTTGTTATGTACTGTCATGAAATTAACATTTTATTCCCTATATATGTTTAAGATTCTGTTGTTTATAGATGTTGATTTTTTTGTCTGTTTTTTGAAACAAGATCTCACTATATAAAAAAAACAAATACACTTAAGAAATAAAGGTATCGAGATAAAAAAAAAAAGATCTCACTATATATGCAAAGTTGGCCTAGAAACTACTATGTAGCTCAGCCTGGCCTCAAACTTGTCATCTTTCTGCATTTGCTTCCCAAGTACTGGAATAGTTACTGGTTTAGGCCTCCATGGTCATAATGAATGTCAATTTGATAGTTGGATCTTCATATGAAAAGATCACTCAGACTTGGGTTTTGTTCTAGTGATTATGCAGGGGTTGGTAGGGATTTCTCTTTGGCTGTGTTGACTCATTTGTTTCTTCCTCTGAAGATAAGAATAGCTAATTTATCTAGCATAGAGACACTTTTCCCCTTATATGAGTCCTGACTCCCATTTTTAAAAAAACTTAATTATTATTGTCAAGGTGGTGTGTAGAGGGGTTACAGTTACATATGTAAGGTAGTGAGTACATTTCTTGACAAACAAGGGGTAATATTGTTACCCCTCAATCTTGGTAACAGATTAATAGTATTCCTGTTTTGTAGATAAAGAATCAGAGGCTTGGCTAGTTTGTCTTTTTCAGGATCCCAGAGGTAGTAAGGAATAAAATGAGGCCGTGGGTTACAACACCGAGAAAAGGTACTAAATACTAAACTACTGCTTAGAAAATTGCTTAGAAGTTTATAGTCTTTTCATCAGAAAATGAAAGAAATGTTTTCTAATGCCCCTTTCTCTTATATAAGCTTTTTAGACTCCCCCTTTAGTGACCTTATGAAACTAATTTTAAACTCTTTAATGGGAAGAAAATAAATGATCACTACAGCTACATGAGGATAAAGTTACAATTTAATAGGTATTACTGGAAATAATCAACATGACTTAATATTTAAAGAAACCAACACTCTCTTTAGCGACTCGACTTTAGGCTTGCTTTTACTTGTTCAGGTTTTTTGATTAGGTTTCTTTGGTTTTGAAATGACTTAGCAGTTTTGATATTATAGAATTGGATTTGAAGCTGAGCCATTCGAAGTACTCAGGAGGCCAAGGTAAAGGGATCACATTGTAAAGCCAGCCTAGGCAGAATAGTCTAAGATTCCAACTCCAATTTACCAGACAATAGTGAGGCTGGAGGTGCTGGTCAAGTGAAAGAATGCCGGCTGTGAGCAAGCAAACCCGGCTTGAGCTTGAAGGTGTGACAGCACCAAGTGCACACACAACAATAAAATTTAGATTTATTATTTGAAAATTCCTGTCTCAATTTGTTTCTGGTTTTCTTTCCTCATCAGAAGACGGTAGATCTGTTTTAAGAGTTGTATTTGTCTTTCAATCTCACTATCAAACAAGGAATAATCCAAAGTAAGCTTATTTATTATTTATTTATCTATCTTGCTGGTTGTGGGCATGAACTCTGGGCCTGGGCACTGTCCCTCAGCTCTTCAGCTCAAGGTGAGGGCTCTACCACTTAAGCCATAGAACCATTTCTGGTTTTCTGGTGGTTTATTGGAGATAAGAATCTCAAGGACTTTACTACTTGGGTTGGCTTTGAATCGCGATCCTCAGATCTCAGGCTCCTGAGTAGCTAGGATTACAGGCATGAGCCACCAGTAGCTTATTTATTTTTGATTGAAGAAAGGTTAATTGGTCTAAACTATTAGCAGCACCCATTTAGCAGAAGACAAACATGATCAGATGTTCTCCAAATGTGTTTGACTATATAATGTTTTATTTTATATAACACTCCTCTCAGAACTAGTGTTGGTAACACATTTGGAAAATGCTTATTTCATTTCATCTGGATTCCTTAGTACTTGTCACACACCACTACTGAGATAGAGCATTGCTATTACCACAGCTTTTCTGTTTCCTTTCTAGTTAGTGCCTCCCACTCTGAAATCCCTTTTCTGACTGTTTTTGCTATAGATTATGCTTGTCTACTGTAGAACTTCAAACAAATGGATATGGTAGTACACTCCTGTCATCTCAGCCCTCAGGAGGCTGAGGCAGGTGGATTGGGAATTCAAAGCCAGCCTATGTGCAAAAGACCCAGCCTCAACTTTCTAAAGAGCCATATATTATGCCTAGGGTTTTTATGTCTGTTTGTTTGGCATATGCCTGTGTGATTTACTTTGTCGAGTGTAGCAGCATTGGTTTATTCTTTTAAATGATCGAATATATTCTTTTGTGTGAATATACTACAACTACTTATCCAATATGCGGATTGACATTTGGGTTGCTACCAGTTTGGAGCCATTATGAATAAGCAACTATAAGTAAGGCACATTTTATTTTATTTTTCTGATATATATCTAGGAATAGCATGATGGGCCACAGAGTAGATGCATGTTTAACTTTAAAACAGCATTCTCAGGCTTTACCAGAGTGAGCTTTATCAGAATGAGCTTGAGGGTTCCCTACCACAAATTTCTAGCAGGTCCCTAGGTAGCACTGATTTTATTTACCTAGGGACGTTTACTCTTTTTTATTTTTTGCCTTGGGAATGGTTCTCCTTATGTAGTCCAGGCTGGCTTGAACTTGCAATCCTTTTGCCTCAGTTTTATGATAATGAAAAAGCTATGAAAAATAAAGTTAGATAAGTTCATTTAAATGAGCTTGGATAGATAAAATGACTTTTAATAATTCTTTTGAAATTATATGGATTGATAATATAATTGTTTTTCATTTGAGTAAAATAATAAACCTATCTGATAAGAAAATACATTTTATTACATGTACAACAAGGAATGATTGCACTTTTATTTCAAATTGTAGAAATCCTCTATATCTATATCCAGTGATGAATCTTTGTGCATACACAACTGGTGCTTAATTCTGACCTGCAAGTTAAGAGGGTTTCAAATTTTCACATTTGCTTTCTAGAACAAATAATGTTGTTCATGGGCAAAGAAGAATGTTAATGAATTAGAAAAAGTTAAGCTAAAACTCAGGTGCCCCATAAGTCTTCATAAATCATTTATTTAGGAATATACAATTAATTATTCTATTTGCTTCTTCTTGCCTTCCTTCTTTATTTTAATACCTCAAGATTAATAATAGGAGTGAGAGTCAGGCTGGATATTTAGAAGATTTTTTTTTTGGGTCCGGTTGTGGGGCCTGAGCGCTGTCCCTCAGCTTTTTAGCTCAAGGCTAGCACTCTACCACTTGAGCCACAGCACCACTTCCGGCTTTTTTATTTTCTGCTTATGTGGTGCTGAGGAATTGAACCCAGGGCCTCACGCATGCAAGGCAAGCACTCTACCACTGAGCCACCTTCCCAGCTCGATTTAGAAGATTTTTGATAAAGTGTTATGGATTGTATTTATAGGAGACATATAGGACAAGAATAATATCTGAGATTTTTTGAAATGTATTTATTCATTATATATTTGTTTAATACTAATACATACAACTTCTTAGGTTAATGATTTATGTAATCATTAACTACAACATTATGTATTATAAAATGCTTAAGAAGATCTGGGTATTCCAGTACTTAGTAGGTGAAGCAAAGACAGGCAGAAGGGTCCTCAGTATGAAGCTAACCTGGACTACAAAATGAGACCATGTCTTGAAAATTAATTAAAATTAGGTAAGCAATTAATTATTAATAAATAAATAATAAAAAGAGCAACTGAAACCTTGCACTGCATCAAGGACATCTGGGAAATATACTGTTTAAAATTTATTTTTATTTTCACTGTTTAAATTTATTTTTATTTTCCTTTAGAATTCCAACAAATAAATATCACCCCACCAAAGTTTATTGTGAAGCCAAGACCAAAAAGGAGTAAACAGCAGGTATGTGTTCTCAGGTGCTGTTTAAAAACACTTGCTAGTTCCTGGTCACCCATCTGGAATATTTGCTCTCTGTGAGAGAGTATTAATTCAGGCATTTGTCAGAGTGTAAGCAGAATAGGTAGCAGATAGGTAAGTATTGAAAAATTATTTAATAGATGAAAAAGGACTTAAGATAGTGGAGATACTATAGCTCTTCATTATTTACAGAGATTATGAGATCCCTGCCTACCGCATTTAGGGTTCTTTGTACCACAATCCTGTTTCCTTGCACGGATATGCACCTCATCAAGGAGTGTGCTTGTGTGGTATCTTTGCATTCAGCCCCTTGGAGACAGTCTCTTATTTGTAAATCTATCTTATTTGTAAATGCCTTCTCATTGGAGCTACTTCGGATTCTGACACATAAAATTAAGACATATCTTTATGATTACACAACTGAATTTTGGGCTAAGTAATAACACTAGGTATTCATACAGCAGCTTAAATTGCATGAAATAAGTATTATTTGTATTTCACAGAGAAAAAAAGTGATGGCTTTGACTTCCCCAGAACCACAGAATTGGAGATAAAATTGGACAGATAACATAAGAGCTACAGTTGTTACAATCAAGGTGTAGTTACCACTGCAGCAGTGGTTTATGTTTTATGTCTGTATGTGCCAAAAAAATACATGGTGAAAGAAATGGTTATTAAGTTATATCAAGCAATTGAAGAAGTTAAGATCTGATCAGATTTAGATCAAATATGTTTATAGCAGATTAGGATTCATATCATACTATTATTTAGATTTTTTTTGTTGTTGTTGGTTGTGGGGCCTGAACTCTGGGCCTGGACGCTGCCCCTCAGCTCTTCATCTCAAGGCTAGCATTCTACCACTTGAGCCACAGCACCACTTCTGGCTTTTTCTGCTTATGTGCTGCTGAGGAATCAAACCTAGGGCCTCATGCATGTGAGGCAAGCACTCTACAACTGAGCCACCTTCCCAGGCCAACTTAGATTTTTGTTTGTGTGAATAATAGTTACTAAATTTGATTTTTTCCCCTTGTTCCCATCCCTATTCTAGGATTTTTAACTGTAATTGACACATTTACAATCTTCCTAACAGCTTTATAAGCAAAGTGGCACAAAAGGCTTAAGAAACTTGGTCACATTAGTCCCTCAGAGGTGGAATAGCGTTCTAAGTAAGAAGTCTAGTCTTAGGCACATATATTGCCACAACTATTCTGTGTGCTCCTTAAGCAGTGAGAGTATTCCCTAAATTACTCTCATGTGCTTTTGGTATATTGTGGAGATAAGAGATATATACACCTGAGTGACCCACTAAACAGAAAACAAAAACAATTACAATTCAGATTTTATTATAACACTTTATTTTTATGAGTTCTGAATTCAAAGAACTGGATATTATTCTTTAGGCATTTCGCTTGAAGTTCTTTGCTAATATCTCAAAAATCTAGTTATCCCATTAATTAGACAAACATTAATTTTTTTTAGGAACTCACAAAGTTGAGATGCTATAGAATGATGTGACCCAAAAGACAACTCTATGACATTAATAAAAATGCTGAGAGGCATATTAACTAGTAAGTGTCCCCATTAACAAAATAAATCTCGAGCTGGGAAGGTGGCTCAGTGGTAGAGTGCTTGCCTTGCATGCCTGAGGCCCTGGGTTCGATTCCTCAGCACCACATAAGCAGAAAAATCGGAAGTGGCGCTATGGCTCAAGTGGTAGAGCGCTAGCCTTAAGCTGAAGAGCTGAGGGACATCGCCCAGGCCCAGAGTTCAAGCCCCCACAACCGGCAAACAAAAAACAAAAAACAAAGTAAATCTTATTGTCCTAATAACAATACTCTTTTTTTTTAAGTTACTTGTCATTTGATACAGGTTAATGTTACTCTTTGGTTTTCATCTTCAGGAATATCCTCCATTATTCCTTATCAGTTTAACGTTTTAAGAGGTTTTTTTTTTTTTTTAAGTTTAGGGATATATTTAGCAAGAGACAAAACCTATGGTGCAGCGTATTTTTAGTTTGTTTTAAATGTAGCACTCAAAGCATACATACATGTATTGACTTAGGAATCATTGTATGCCCTCATCACCAACGTGATCCTTGAGAAAGTTAACAAAAAAATGTACTGAAAAAAGTGTATTGGGCCGTGACAGAAAGAAAAAGTCAGTGTTGCAGATCTTGTTATTGATTGTGTTACAGAATAACTGCTATGGGAATGGCTGTCCTTCAGGACTAGCTATTTCCTGTACCATTCACTGGTCAGAAGAAAATTTATTGTTGAGCAAAAACTAGCTGCAATAAATATCCCAAGACTGCTTGGGTGCTCCCAAAGCTAGCCTGACAAAACCCCGGTACCACTTTGGGAATCTCTTGAATTATCCCAGGAGAATGGGAATGTTTCATTCCCAGATTTCTAGATTATAGAATAAAAGTATCACCCCACTCTCAGAAAGATTCCTGGGATTTAGTTGAATTAAATTGGGAAGAATATTCTTTATGTGTGATGGTTTACAGTTTACCTAGCATTCTGTTAGGTAAAAAAAAATATCAGTGCAACAAGTGCAAGTATGAAACAGAGCATGTATTCACATTTAATTTTATTTGCATAAGTAGTTTTGGAAGAAGCTAGTAATTTAAATAAGGACTAGATGCTGGGCAGATGGGGAACAGAAGTGAGAGGAAGATTCATTCTAGTTCTTTTAATTTTTTTTACTTTGTTGACTTTTTGAACTATGTAAATTTGTTGTTCACTTTAATTCTAAGTATGCTGGTAAAAAATTTAAGTAAATTCTGAAGGGGGAACTTTTGTTGTTATCTTCCAATGTTTTGTTTTTCACTAGTTTTCGAGGACTTATTTAGATTTTTTTCATTTACTATATTGTAGCTTCTTCGATACCCTCGTAATGTAGAAGAGGAAACCAAATACATTGAACTGATGATAGTGAATGATCATCTCATGGTAAGATTTTGTAAAATAAAAATTACTTGTAGGTGCAAAAGTAAGTTTAGAAGAAATAAAAGACACATCAAGTGACCTAGAGAAAGTATTTGTTTAATCAATATTTGGCTAAATAGCAACAACCCACACATAGGAAATACACATAGGAGGAAGAAGCTAGCAATAATTTATGAAGCTCCAAAAATATTTCCGTGATTCATAATGTGTGTGTGTGTGTGTGTGTGTGTGTGTGTGTGTGTGTGTGTGGTGTGCTAGCATTGGGGCTTTTTCAGAGCCTCACATTCTTCCTTAGCTTAATTTGCTCCAAGCTAGTGCTCAACCACTTGAATCATACCTCCACTTCAGTTTTTTTATGATTAATTGGAGATAAGAGTCTGAGCTGGCTTTGAACCATAGTCCTCAGATCTCAGCCTTCTGAGTATCTAGGATTACAGGCATGAGCTGTTATTGCTGGATCATGATGTTAACTCTGAATTTCTTGACTAATACAGAAACTAATATTTGAATATCCTCTAAATGATATGTTTTAAGAAAAGTAGAAAATTTCATTTCATATTGAAAAGGGAGAACACCAATTATATGACAGTATAGTGTTCAGTGTATAGCTTAATTCTAATAAAAGCAAAATCATACATAAATGCTTATCTACCAAGCAGTGAAGAGTCCTAGGATAAGAAGTTAGCAAAGCTTCCTTCTTACAAATTATTTTGGAATTATTTCCATATATATGACATACATATTCAATTAATAAGCATGTTGTAATCAGCATGATTACCTTTGTAGTGTAGCAATGAATTGTAATGCTAATTGTTCCATGAAATAAAAATGATCAGTGATACACATTGCTGAATTTTTCTTAACTTCAGTTTCAAGTGCATTTTAATTTACTTGAATGATTTTTTTGAAGGCAAATGTGTTACTTTATTTAGGATAAAGTATACAGTGTTAACCTTTTTATTATTGCTAATAATAATAATGCATTTAGATTAAAGGTACTTCCTTGTTCCGGCTAGGCCTCTTTTCTTTTTGCCTACCTATTTGATTACAATAAATGCTATTGTTCCCTAATTATTTTGAATATCTTCCATAGTCATAATTTCTCTACCAAAGATTAATGCTGTCAGCTCCTTAGAATAGATTATCTTTTACTTCATTTTACAAATGAATACCCTGAGATCTAAAGTGTTCTATATACATCTATACAGATATTATCAGTAACTTGAACCAGATGTTAAACAATAGGGAGAAGTAAGGCTTTTGGCAAAAGGAAAAGCGCATAGTTTATAGTGTACCATGTGAGGCTATTTTTTTTTTTTTGGAGAGTCAAGACCTCTCTATGTAGCCCAGCTTGGCCTCAAGCTTGTAATTCTTCTGCCTCAGCTTTCTGAGTGCTAGAAGTACAGGTTTGTGCTCTCATGCCTGGCTACTTTTAAAAGAAGGCAAAAATCAGACTTTCTTTATACTGAAAAGTCTTAGATATACAAAACTTGTAACTTCTTAAGCATTTAGCAGTGTTATTTGCTATGTAGACTTGTATGTCTTGAAATTCACAGACACTTGCATATATTTTATCATTTTGAATAATAATTCTTTAAAAAAAACCATGAGAGAGAATGCAAAGTTTATTTTTATTTATGTACTTTTGGGGGGAGATGTTCTAGTGCTTGAACTCAGTGTCTCATACATAAAACACCCCAACTTCTTGGAGTAAAGATTTTTTTGGGGGGTATTTGTTTTTCATTCAACAAATGAATAAACTGAGGCTCAACATTTCAAGAACATTTAACTTAGGCCACAGAAATGAGTAGATCTCATCTCTAACTCTTTTCAGAAAACGTTAGGCATCTTTCTCTTGCACAGTTTTCCTGGCTGAGATAGTTATTTCCTGATAACATTGAAAGCGCTTACATGTTTTCTTTTTCTCTCAGTTTAAAAAGCATCGACTTTCCATTGTGCATACCAATACCTATGCGAAATCTGTGGTGAACATGGCAGATCTAGTAAGTATCAACCTGGTTCCATTTTGCCTTAGGCTTTTAATCTCTGAATTACTAATAGAACGGGTATTATGGCTCTTTGTTTTTATTGCTCTAAATTGTACTTCAGCTAAGGTGGAAGTTCCTTATGACTTTGCCATAGACTTCACTTTAGTCTCCGTCTGGGAAGAAGGAATTGTGAAAGTTACCCACATATCTACCAGTATTCATTCCTATGTGGTGCTTCAAAGACAGATTACTCATAGACGCTAGCAAAGATGTTCAGTATAATTCTAAAAAGGTATGGAGAAACACTGAAGCAGTTGTGTACCTCCTGCAGCAATGAGACCACTAAATAACCCAGTGTGCCTCCTTCCATGTCTTCCCTGCACAATGCAGTCCAGGGCCTTCCCCATGAGTTTAATGGAGCTAGACAAGCTGTATAGCAATCCTTGCTTTTAGAGACTCTTTGTTCTACTTGATATTTTTTAGAGGAAAAACCTCAAGAATGAATGAGCTATTTTGTTCAGGGGACCAAAAAAAGGGGCAGGGGATCCTTAGTATTTATTTAAAAGGAATCTTTGGTTTCAAAAAGTGACTTTTCATTGAATATTACTCAGTATATAATTTGATTCTCTATTCTGTAAGGAAAATGCATGTAAATTAGAAGAATAACAGTCTCTTAAAAACAGCAACCCAAGGCATTTCTGTGAAACTAGCTTTATAGTACATTTGTAAACTATTTGATTTTTACCACATGTACAGCTGGTGTGTTCATTTTGTTAATATACTAGATATATAAAGACCAACTTAAGACCAGGATAGTACTGGTTGCCATGGAAACCTGGGCAGCTGACAACAAGTTTGCCATATCTGAAAACCCCATGATCACCCTACGTGAGTTTATGAAATACAGGAGGGATTTTATCAAAGAGAAAAGTGATGCAGTTCACCTGTTTTCGTACGTAATTTTTGTAATGATTTACTATCTTTTTTGTTGTTGTTCCTTGTTTTTGGATGTTCTGTTAACTTATGAATGAGATGTACTATATAATACAATTAGTATTTGATATAGTAGTACTTTTGGAAAAAATTTTAAATATTTCAAAGTGTAGATTGAAATTGTCATGCCAATTTATGTGACTTAATTTTAGGTTATTTGTATCATTGCATATTTATTTTATTTTATTTTTAAAGTGATTTAATTAGGACATATGGTTAGTAAACCTACTGTTTGTACTGATAATATTCTAAGCAACCCATTAATTCATATTCTTTAAAATTGCTGCCTTTTAAATGCTGATGTTCTCTGTCTTTTTTCTAAGGTAAGAACTAAATTTCTGAAGTTTATCTTTTAGGTTTTGATCATTATTACAAACGTATTTTCATGGTACTATCTATGCTGTATTTAATGTGATAAATATTTATGCTAGCAAAATATATATTCTAATATTTAAAAAATCTATTACCCAAACTCAGCTACTGAACATAGGAATAATTGGAAAGTAAAATGTATAGTTTAGGAGTAACTTTGATTTTTACATAAATTGAAATTTAGGGAAAAGTTGCAAGAATATTACAAAGAAATTACATATGCTCTTTACCTAGACTCAAATTATTTACATTTTTCTCATTTTTTTACATGATTTCTCTTTATTTCCTTTCTTTCTTCCCTCATCTATCTATTGGGTTTTTTTTTTTTGTCTTGAACTTTGCAAGCATAAGTTGGAAACACTGAGCATGTATTATTAAATACTTCTACATTTCAATGTATTCTCTAAGAATCCTTTCTCTTATATAATATAGAAAATTATTAAAATTAGAAAACTTAACACCAACGTAATCCTTTTATGTAATTTAAAGTCATATTCCAATTCCACCTATTGTCTTAGAGTCTTTTTTTTTAATAGAAAATTCTCTCCCATTCAGCATTTAGTCCAGCATCAGAGATTTTGTTAAATTATCATGTTCGTTTAGTCTCTAAGCTGAAAGATCTTCACCTTTGTCTATTTTGAGCATAATGCTTTTCAAAAGTATAGATCAGGTATTTTATGTACTTCTCATCATGGACATATGTGATGGTTTCCTATTATGAGATTTAAATGATGTATTTTTGGTAGAAGACAGATGTAATTTTGTATTCTTGGAGTGCACTATATCTGCAATTACAAAAAATGGTGTACTATAGGTATTGATCATGTGAGGAAACAGTCCTCAAAAATCTTTTCCTTTGGATATATAAACAGTTTTCACATTGCCTGGGGAATATATATTTATAGAAATCTTGTGTGCCCTGAGAAAATAAGTGTGGTAACTTAATAATGAGAAGTGCTTGGATGATTGAGCAGTAAGCAGTAAGCATTTTTCATTTCCTTTTCTAAAAGGGGAAGTCAATTTGAGAGTAGCCGGAGCGGGGCAGCTTATATTGGTGGGATTTGCTCGTTGCTGAAAGGAGGAGGCGTGAATGAAGTAGGTGTGAACATCTGTACAATACAAAGTGGTATGATGGCTGAAAATGTTTTTCTAATATTTCAAAGATATTGGTGAATAGTACTATAAGAGGGTTAGACTCTCTTATTAGCAGTCAATACGGGTACCGTACATCACCAGAGTAGAACAGGGAGGTAACAGAAGCTAAAACTTTCTCATGTTCTTCTTAGAATAACATGTAGACTCAGTTGTTTATTGAATGCATATAATCTTTATCTTATCTTTCATTGAACAGAAGGCCATATTTATGACTGAATGATTTTACAGAGATTTGCTGAATTCTCTGAAGCATTGGGTTTCTGACCAGCAAGCCAAATGAATCTTTTCTCAGTCTGTGAAAAATTTTGGGAGGATAAAAGTAGTATAGCTCTTCCCAAAAGATTTCTTTACTCCTAACACATAGAAATTGACAGATATTTTCTAAAATAAAAATACTTAAATCTTTATAAGGTTGCATATTGAAAAAAAATTCTTTGGTTTTATTTTAAATTTCTATTGGCCCATACTACCACCATTTTCAATTTTCTATTGTATTTGTTTTCTAAAGCTACTTTTTATTTTATTTCAGGGAAATTTCAGGAGAACGCATGAACACATAAAAGCAAAACAGTCAAATAATTTCTAGAATTTTTTTTTATTTTTTATTATTCAAAAGACTGGTATATTGATATACAAGTGCTAAGTTCTTTAGCAATGTTACCTAGTAAAACTTAGAGATTATATTTGTTTCCAAACTCAAAAACTGATGATTTTCTGGCACTTAATCTTTCCTGTAAGACCCAAACAAACCTGAATTCATTTCTTACTACTTTTCCTAAATGAACATGCTATAAAGAGTTTAGCCTCTGCTAAATAAAATGATTATAAATTACTTCTTCTCAATTCTATTGTGACATTTTCTATGGCTGATCTTGAATGAAAAACAACTTCATTTACATATATTTTTTTTCGTTTTTTGTTTTTCAGTTTGGGAAAACCGATTTAATGGCGGTTACACTAGCCCAGTCATTAGCCCAAAACATTGGTATTTTCTCAGATAAAAGAAAACTAGCTAGTGGTAAGTTTTAGTATGAGTATGTTTGGCTTAGTTGTATTTAAAGTAGACTACCGGTTATATATTTTGTACAATGTGATTGCTTGATTAGGAATGTAGAGATGATAATATAAGGTAAACAAGCCCAGACACAAAATGTTGCTTTCCAAAGTTTCTCTTTATATAATAAACATTGAAAGTCACTGATGGATTCAGAGCTGAATTTAACAAAAAAAGGAGTAAAATAAACTCATTTAGGCAATTTGAAATGCTCTACTAGAGTCCTGGGTATGTAGGTTTCACATAGTGCTTAATTGTGTTTTTTTTGTTTTTGTTTTTGTTTTTGTCAGTCATGGGGCCTGAACTCTGGGCCTGGGTGCTGTCCCTTAGCTCTTCAGTTCAAGGCTAGCACTCCGTACCACTTGAGCCACAGTGCCACTTCTGGCTTTTTCTGCTTAGGTGGTGCTAAGGAAGTGAACTCAGGGCCTCATGCATGCAAGGCAATCACTCTACCACTGAGCCATCTTCCCAGCCCTAATTGTGGTTTATTAGAAAGATCTGTAAGTATGGGCACAGAGATAGGATCTCCTTGTCAGGATCTGACCTGATAAGGGGATTAATAAAATGATGAAAAAGTTGAATGTGCTAGGAATAGCATCTGCCATTCTTAAATAGATGAAATTACTTCTCCATGAATGGTCCAATACCGTGTATTTGGAGTAACAGTTTGATTATAACCATATTTATTATCTTAATAATAAGCATTATAAATAAGGTTAGGTGTAATAATAACTATTACTACTTACTGAGTAATGATTATTTGCTCTGTGACTAAATATCCTGTTATCTACATCTGCTTGCTTAATTCTCAAGATAATTCTAGAAAATATCCATTTTTTTAGTACTACTTTAAAGATGAAGTGATTAGATCTTCAAAATAGTAATGTCTCCAAGATTTATACATAGATGACCTGGCAAACCTCCTCTTCCTGGTTTTGAGGGCCTTCTGCTGAACTCATGTACTTACTGCCCTCTACTAGATAAGCTTTGGTACTGATGCTTTTAGAAGTAGGCACAGAATTAGAATAATTCTCCTACTCTTATGAAATTGGAATTTGATTCACTTTTTCAGTGAGCCATTTTAAGTGCATGGTTTAAAAATATGGCCTTTGTTAAGCTGCTGAAGTTTAAGTAAAAATTACAATTACCTTGATAGGATCAGAGTGTGCTTTTGTGGTTTATATGTTGCATAAAAATCTTCATGTTTAGCAGACATAAATCAGCTATTGCTTTTTAGAAAATATTTAAAATATAAACTGAAGATTATTCAAAAAACAGTGTACAAAAAGTTGTTTTGTTCTTTCATAGGCGAGTGTAAATGTGAAGACACCTGGTCCGGATGCATAATGGGAGATACTGGGTAAGCCACCTCTATTCGAAAATAATCACTCACTTTGCATGCTGTGCTGTCCTCTTTTAGGAATATGATACTACCTTAGTATTTGGAACCTCACACATAAGAAAAATCAGAAGTAAATACTCTAATGGCCCTGTACATAAAAAATACTTCATAGAAGAGCCTGTGACATTTACTGTCAATTAAGTTACTTACCCTCAGGAAGTTTTCAATCTTGAATCAAGGCTAGAAATATAATGAGTAACAATGCTGTTCTTGATTACTTATGGTTTACTTAGATTGTGTTGAAGTTATAGGAATTCCAATGTGGCTAAAAAAATAAGGATAAGGAGATTCATATATATATATATGGATTTCCTTTTGGAGGAATGAGTTTCTTGGACTGGGGTAAATAGACTGAGCTCCCCAAAACACCCTCTTTGTAGTGAGTAATCTTACAAGGATATGGATGGATTAGAAGAGAAGGTGGTAAGAATAACAGCTGGGTGTCAGGCATTGAAGAGAAAAAAGGAAGTAATATGTGAAGAAAATTTTCAAATTAAGAATAAGGTTTACAACTGGGCTCTGGTGGCTCACCAGCCTGTAATCTTAGCTACTCAGGAGGCTGAGAATGGAGGATCAAGGTTCAAAACCAGCCTGGGCAGGAAAGTCCTTGAGACACTTATCTCCAATTAACCACTCAAAACCTAGAAGTGGAGCTGTTGCTCAAAGTTGTAGAGCACTAGCCTTGAGCAAAATTAGTTCAGGCTCAGGAACAACTCCCAGGCCCCAAGCTCAAGCCTCTCAACCGACAAATAAAAAGAAAGAAAGAAAGATGAAAGAAAGAAAGAAAGAAAGAAAGGAAGGAAGGAAAGAAGGAAGGGAGGGAGGAAGGGAGGGAGGGAGGGAGGGAGGAAGGAAGGAAGGAAAAGAGAAGAAAAAGAAAAAGAAAAAGGGAGTAAAGGAAATAAGGTAATTAGAGTTTTATTTGGAATGTTGCATCCAAATTCTACTGTTTTGTTTGTAGCCCAGTTTTAATATTTAGGACCCATTATGGAATAAAAAATTCTAATTCTTAGATTTAAATTAGAGGTACTGTTGTATACATGTGTTTTTGGGGGGATGTGCATATAAATAATAAACAACTCATAATAACTACCATAGTCCTCAAATGAAGAACTTATAAATATACTGGTTGAATAACACTCTTATAGATTAAATACAAATATTATGTCTAAGTGGATTTAATTTTTCATTCTAAAGAAAACTGTATAACTTTAACAATGAGCAATTTTAAGATGACAAACATAAGTAAACATTGTATACATGTGTTGATTTTCTGCTCTCCACAGTTATTATCTCCCAAAAAAGTTCACCCAGTGTAATATCGAAGAGTACCATGACTTCCTAAATAGTGGAGGTGGTGCCTGTCTGTTCAATAAACCTTCTAAGGTAATAAATGTAACCAAGAGTTCTTAATCATTAATCTTTCTACAGTGTTATAAAAACAAATTTTCACCACTGGATCTTTCAATTGGATATGCATGTTCTAGTTATACTAAATGTCTACATTTTCAAAGCCAACGTTAATAGGAAGCATTTGGCAATAGAAAGCAGATAGAAATGTGTATTTCATTTTTGTTGTTGTTCTTGTTTTCTTTATATTTCTTCTTCTAGTTAGAAAAGGGTGTATTATGTGGTGTGGATTTCTTTATTTATAGATGTGCATAATATTGCCATTCTGTAGTCTGAAAACTGGTTAACTTTCAGCTAATAGCAATTATTTATTATTACTCATTTTGTTTAGCATAGGGTACATTATATTTTAAAAATACTAAAATTTATGGAGAATTACATAATAAAATAAAACTTAAAATGTACTCTCAGATAGTTCAAAAGTTACTTTAAAGTCTGGGGCAAATTATTGAGGTTCTCTACAAAGCTGTATTTATAGTAAGAGATATAGTTTATAATAAGTAATCAGTGAATATATTAGTTATTATAATACCTTTCTTATCAATAAAATAACTTTAAGAAGAAGATTAATTAATAAAGGGCTTTTCACAGATGAGTAAACTTGATTCTAACAGCAATTTTGGATAACTAATTAATTAGGTGGACAACTGTACTATTATCCTTGTTTAAGATAGTAATGTTTTACCAGGCACCAATAGTTCATTGTTGTAATCCTAGCTATTCATGAGGCTGAGATACAGAGAATTATGGTTCAAAGTCTGCCTGGCAGGAAAGAATACTTGGGACTCCATCTCTAAAATAACAGGCAAAAATTTCTGCTGGAGGCATGGTTCAGGTGATACAGTGTCAGCAGAATAAGTTTGAAGTCCTGAGTTCATATTTTGGTATTGTCGAAAAAAAAAGAAATAATAAATTTTCTGAATGTTACAGTTAGTTGTATCAAGATTTTATTTTAATCTGCTTCTAGGAATTGAACCCAAAACTTCACATATACTACCAAAATTTTAACCTAAACATTTTGGACTCCAAATCTCTTGTTTTCTGACTGACATAGAATTTTATGGTTTTAGTAAGTGGCTATGTCATTTTTTATTTTGGCAACATTTATTAGATCGTGTTTGTTATATATGTTAAATATGTGAATCTTTGCAAGCATATATACATATATGAAATATAAAATGGAAATAGAAGTAGATGCTTCTAATTGCTTTTTTGTTTAAGGTAAGTGAAATATCCAGGTGTGGCATGCAGGAGCATCAAAAATCCTTGCTGTTGTGCTTTGTGCATTTTAGATCCCTTTTTGGTTTTCCTTCCACAGCTTCTTGACCCTCCGGAATGTGGCAATGGCTTCATTGAAACTGGAGAAGAGTGTGACTGTGGGACCCCTGCAGTAAGTCTTGGGTAGTCTGGAGATACTTTTTAAGGTAACTTAGTATCATTCCAGGTCCGTACATGAACGTATAGAGAGCAAGAGTTATACCTGGAAATGGTATAGGATTTGTGGATGGAAGAGTATTTTTGTGAGTTTGTACATTCGCTTTTAGGAAATAACCTGATATTTTCAGAAAAATGATGGCCATACTCTGATGTTTTGCAATTGTTTGTGTTATTTAGGAATGCATCCTTGAAGGAGCAGAGTGTTGTAAGAAATGTACCTTGACCCAAGACTCCCAATGCAGTGATGGTCTCTGTTGTAAAAAGTGCAAGGTAAAGAATTCTGACTTCTGACCAAAGGACAGAAAGAAGGACATATGTGATAAAAAACAAAATATTAAGGCTGTGTAAATATGATCTAATAATCATGTCTAAGATATAGTAAATGATGAAATGCTAGGTGCGAACAAGATCCTCATAAAATCATATGAGGCATAGTTACTAATGTAATTCCTGCCTGAAAAGACTTGGTCCTAGATCATATACTGATTAAGTGGATCTCAAACCCTGGGCTATCCTCAGAGGCTATCCTATCCATACTACCTCCCTGAAGAACACATGTGTTGAATGAAACCAAGGGTTACTTCCAATACATTTCCTTTCTTTTCAATGCCAAGAAAGTGCACGATATATTCTTCCTTTATTGTAGCTCTCTTTGGAGTACCTCTTACATTCACTGTTGAGGAAGGGAGGAAGTGAAAGAAATGCTTTGGATATGACCAAGCCTTGCACGTTTTGTTGGCATGAGAGTTACGAATGTATCTTTACACATTTTGTTTTTATTACATCTTTATTACACAGCATCCTGATAACCTAATTCCACAAATTTATACCTTTACTTTAAGACTAACAGTTATTTTGAAACTTCCCTCCCTTTCCTTTATTTTCCTGAAGAAATCAGATGTTTTATCATCTCACATAATATTTGATACCATATCTGATATCATAGTCCTCATATTTCTGAAGCTTAATGTCTATCTCCACTGTGTACAGAGAGAGACATTTACACAGTAATCAGTGTAGGTTCTCAATACATATTGGTCCAGGGGATGAATAAATATGCCCAGCATGCTCTGTGATAATTTGCTGACTGAACAGCTTTAATGAGTTATAGAGGAGTGGTTGATGAAACTGTCATAGGAAGTGTCCACTTTGTGCCTGAAAATGTGCTAAGCACTTTCAATTTATAACACCTTATATGTGGATTTCTCAGTCTACACTATTGGCATTCTTGGATGAGTAATTCTTTTTTGTGAAGGTTTGGTTTATTTTGGGAATGGTAGAATGTTTAGTAACTTCTGGGGATTCTGCCTATTAGATTGTAGAAGCAATCCTCCCAGTGGTGACAACCAAAACTGTCTCCATTCATTTCCAAATGCCTCCTCAAGGGAACAAAACAGCCCCGGTGAGACCATTGTCTTAGAGAATATTCCCAAGCACACTTTTAGGAAAGACACTATTATTTGGATTTTTACAACTGAGCAATCTCAGTAGCAAGGAAGTTAAAGAGCTGCCAAGGCCCACTCAGCTAGAAAGAATAGCTGTGCAGTTACACCTCAGACTGCTGGCAGCAGTTTCTTCTCTTTCCACTTTACCACTGTGTCTTCTGGAAGCTTTTAAGGCAGCCAGGCACTGGCAGAGATCTCTGAAAGCTTTCGTTCTGGCTACCATAGCTGCTTATTCTGACAGTATCTTCAAATAACATAGTAAGGAATCTAAAACCATTTATCTTACATCTGGTGGTTTTAGGCTCTCCCTCCTGTAAAACACATTCAATTACAACATTATTCTTTGACTTTAGGCCTTTGGTGAAGAACAAGTTCAAAATGATTAAAATTAAAATTAAACAACATGGTTACTGTCCTGCAAAATAAAATTGCTAGTCTGTCAATTATTTTCACCACTTCCTCTACTCCTCACTCCCAATCCTGGATTCCTAAGGGAGCTGGAGGCTGAGCAGTGAATGGATGGTGGGCATTAATGTTTAAATAAGGATACAGGTTGACTCATTGTATCAATGAGATGTACAGGACACTGGTGAACATCGAACTTTACAATTTAGGTGGGGGCGGGGAGAGAGTGTATTTGCGGAAGTGAGGGAAGGGATGGTGGGGGAAAACAAAGGAGGAGGCAACAATGCTTGATAAGAAATGTACTCATTGCCTTGCTCATGTAAACTGTAACCCCTTTGTATAGTATTTTCACAATAAAAAACATTAAAAAAGAGATAGGAAATTATATGTATCCCTCTTTTCTACATATATCTATAATAATGTATTTATTAGCCAAAGGCTAACATATTTTCTGAAAAAAAGTTACATAAAAAATACTTTACCCTTGATTTACGAGAAAATATCTGTCTGAGTTAAGGCAACCATAGAAAATACAGAAATAGAAGTGTGTGGTTTTTTCCCAATGAAATTGTATTTATGAAGATAGGCAGCCAGCTAGTTTTATTTCTTATTTTCTTCTTCCCATTATAAGTTCTAGTAAGGATTTTTGGCCAGTTTATTTCTTATTGTATCCTAGCACACATACTTTCTTCCCAAATTTCCTAAAAAAGTTCAAAACTTATACTCTCATCTAAATTTTATGTCAAATCTACTGATACTTGTTTTAGATCTTCTCAAATCAAAAATGTGAAATTAAGCCAGGTGCTGGTGGTTCATGCCTATAATCCTAGCTACTCAGGAGGCTGAGACCTGAGGATCACAGTTCAATGTCAGCCCAGGCAGGAAATTCTGTGAAACTCTTTTTTTTTGGGGGGGGGTCCGGTCGTGGGACCTGAACTCTGGGCCTGGGCACCATCCCCCAGCTCTTCAGCTCAAGGCTAGCGCTCTACCACTTGAGCCACAGCACCACTTCCGGCTTTTTTCTTTTTGCTTATGTGGTGCTGAGGAATCGAACCCAGGGCCTCAGGCATGCAAGGCAAGCCCTCTACCACTGAGCCACCTTCCCAGCCCCTTCTGTGAAACTCTTATTTCCAATTAACCACCAGAAAACTGGAAGTGGTGCTGTGGTTCAAGTAGTGTGCTGGCCTTGAGCTGAATTGATGAGGGACAGCACCCAGGCCCAGAGTTCAAGCCCCATGACTGACCAAAAACAAAAGGAAAGAAAAAGAAAAAGAAATTATTTTGCTCATTTACTTTATTTTCAGGGTCCATTTATCTCCATCAAAATGCAAATTGCTTGTGAGTAGGATTCTTGTGTTTTGTTCTCCACTGAGTCTTCATGGACTCAAATAGCACATGGCACAAGTTTAAATGCTTAGAAAATACTTGAATGAATGAATGAATGAATATAAATCTTACTCAGATCTTTTAAAATATAACTTTTCAAATTCTAAGGAGTTAGCAAAGTTTACACATGAGGGCAACAGGAGATGCAAGTACCTGGAGGACTATGAAGAAAGAAATTCACATACAAAAAATGTATATCGTGTGTGTGTGTGTGTGTGTGTGTGTGTGTGTGTGAGAGCGAGCCAAAACTGTGTGCTGTGTGAGCAGAGACAAAGTATAGATTGGTCCAGCCCCAAATGTCAGCATTTTGAAGAGAGATAAAGGAAAGAAGAAAGAGGAACATGATACTATTCTGTTTTGTCACATGAATACTCTAATTTATAAATACCATGAGGTTAAAAATAGTAATACAACTGTATACATACAAGAAATATTTGTGGCAATCAAAAACAAAGAAATGGACACAAAACCCCTAAAGCCCTATCACTGGGCATAAATAATAGAGATACTCGAATAGAGTCAAAGACTAAGATTTGAATGTATGTAAGACGAGGTTGGAAGAAGGGAAGAGAAAGCTTGGGAGAAAATAGTTCTAGAAAAGCTAACTTTTATAATTTATCCCAAAATGTAACTTTTGAATGCTTTACAGATAAGAGGAAAAAGTACTGTGTGGTAAAGATATCAATAAGAATGAAGTTAAGTCCTAAATCCCAAGGTTAATCAGTAAGAAGATTTATAGGATTAGGGTTTGGCACATCAGCAGCAGTGGACTGCTAGCCTAGCAAGTTCTAGGCCCTTCAGAAACAAAGCTAAACAAGACAGTACTGCAGAAATAACATATGGAATTGCCAGCACTTGGACTAACTTGTCATCTTGTGGCTTGTTCTCTCAAGTACTGCCCTACTGACTCTCGTGTGATGTCTATAAATATTTCTTGGGACATGCATGAGAAGCTGTCGCTTAAAACGATTAAAGCAGCACTTGTTCAATAATGGTAGCTTTTGCTACCACAAGACTATCATCTTAACATGGTTTAAGATTCCTATTCAAATACTTTTCATTCTGCTTACATTTAAATAGAGTTTTCGTCCTTGTAGAGTTTTATACATTGATTTTTTTTTGTTTATTTTAGTTTCAGCCTATGGGGACTGTGTGCCGAGAAGCAGTGAATGATTGTGATATTCGTGAAACATGCTCAGGAAATTCAAGTCAGGTAATTTACAAAATGTTCACTCTAAATCCCATACAAAAAAGAAAAAAAAAACTGGGAATAGCTTTAGTGCACTGACTTCTTCTCCCTCCCCCTCCCCCCAGCTGAAGAAATGTACATGGATAAGATGCATCTCTTTCACATTATCTCTCACTATCTTTTTATTTTTCATGAATTTAAGTTTTAAAAATCCAAGCTTAAGAAAATGCTCAGCATTGATAAAAATAGGACAGCATTCATACCTTAAATATATTGTACTTATTTTCTTTTCTCTGTTCCTCCCTTTAGTTGTTTCCTTCTTATCCTTCCCTTTCTTCCTTTGTTTCCCTCCCCTCCTCCCCTGGGGGTTGGGATCTTTTGCCTTCTAGGTAAATGGTCTCCCACTAATACATATGCTATATTCCCAACCCTTTACTGTTATTTTTTAGACATGGATTTACTGCATGCATCAGACTGGTCTTCAATTCTTAATCCTCCTGCCTCTGCCTCCTAAGGGATGGGATTATAGATCTGTCCCATCATGCTTGGCTCAAAAGCATTTTTTTTTCTCTTCCTTAACACTGGTTTTAAACTCATAAGGAAATTAAAAATAAACTAATATTTAACATACTGTAAATTGAAACCAAACCATTGAAAATTAAAGTATTTGACTTGTTTGTAAAATACACATCAGCAGCAGTTTGAATTGTGCTCTTACCTTCTTTTAAACCTTATAATACAAAGTGAGCTTTGTTTCTATGACTTTCACATTGACATACGTCTAAGTTTTGATTAGCTTTCAACATCGTATTCATTGTTCTTTTTTATATTTTCATTTTTCATTGATTAAATTTTTTGGTGGCCCTGGGATTTGAATCCATGGTTGTGTTTTTCTTAGGTATTATCACCACTTAGCCACATTTCTAGCCCATTTTTTGCATTGATTATTTTTGAGATAAGGTCTTGCTTCCTGTGTAGATCTGAAACTAGACTGTAATCTGCCTGCTGTAGGCTAGAATGACAGGCATGAACCAAAGTTTGTGAGTCAACCGCCCCCCCCGCTCCTTGCCACCACAGGCTGGCCTAGAACTGTAGTCCTTCAAATCCCAGCCTCTTCTTTAGTTTGAGATAACAAGCATGCATCAACATGTCCAACAAGCTATGGCTTGAGATGGGGGCTGCTCACTTTTTTTTTTTTTTGCCCTAGCTGGCCTCAAAATACAATTCTTCCAAACCCAGCCTCCAAGTAACTAGGATTGCAGGTTTGAACCACTTAATTCTTACCCTTTGTTCTTTGAATCTCAGGAAGTCTCTGAGACACATGGAGACATACATCATTTCCTCTAAGGCATTACACTTAGTGAGTTTTCCTTCACAACATTTTCTAGTTGCATATTTAGTCTCTTGAACAATGGTATTTACAACCTCAGTGCCACCTCTTTTCTTTCTATTACTCCCTTTACATCTAAGTAGTACTGGGGTTTGAATTTAGGACTTTAAGCTTGCTGTGCAAACACTCTACCTCCTGAGCCACACCCCTCGCTCAGGTTTTGCTTTAGTTATTTTTTAAAATACGGTTTCACTTTTTTTCCCCTTTGGGGTGAGTATGGAGCTAGCCAGGCCTAGACTGGCATCTTCCTGCTTATGTCTCTTGTACAGATGAAATTACAGACATGCAATATAATGTCCGGCTTTTTTTTTGATGAGATGGGTTCTCTCTTGCCTAGTTTCACCTTAAACAGTGATCCTTCCTATAGGTGCCTCTTGATTAGCTGGTATTATAGGCCTGAGCCACTATGACAATGGAGAGTCATTTAAAGGGGTGTTTTATTTCTCATGGTAAACAAGGAGGACATTGTACTATGGCTTCATCTATGTGGTCAGAACCCTTGCCTTGAGTTTGTGCTCATTTTTTTTTCTTGCTTTGATGACTGATGTATCAGTATGAAGCAGATGCTCTTAAGCATATCATTCACTGAGACTATTGTGGTCAGTAGTTTTCATTTGCTGCTATGTAGTAAATATTTTGACTTGAGTATATTCATAGTTTTAGGGAAAAGGGCATGAACTGCTTTTTCCTCTTCCTGTCTGTGGACTTTCTGTTTTGATTTATAGATAGTTAAAGGGACTAGGTGTATTATCAGACATAATTTTTAGAATCAGATCCTTAAAGAGATCCTTGTTAGCTCATCCTGATATTTTGTTCTATATTTGGCTGGTTTATAGCTTGTTCTCTTTCCTTAGTGTGCTCCTAATATTCATAAGATGGATGGATCCTCATGTGATGGTGTTCAGGTAGGAACATCACTTTATTCTGTAGATTTTTCCTGTGAGAATGAGAGAAATTCTGGAATGTTATCAACCTGCGAAGAACAGTTTAAATGTTTCATAATCAATTCTGAAGATAAAAGACCCTTATAATATATTTAATATTATTTACCTGTTTTCCCACAATTCTATTAGCATCAATTAGTTGTATGGGGGGAGGGGGTTCATTTTGACATGACCACATGGGCAGATCAGATTCACTCCTTCTGTCATTTTCCCCTCATCCACACACATCCTTCTCTAATATTTTTTTAACCAGTCATTCTGTCTTTTTGAGTTTTCTGCCATAGGCACTTACTGAACCATTTCTGGGTATTTGTTTTTCCATTTTAGGGAATTTGCTTTGGAGGAAGATGCAAAACCAGGGACAGACAATGCAAATACATCTGGGGGCAAAGTAAGTAAATAGTGTGGCTTGATTATTTTAAAGAAGGTGTTCAGTGGATTTCATAAGGGCAGATGGGTTGGAAGTAAATTTGTATCTAGAGGCTTCTCACAGCTACCATAAGTCTTAGCTGGGGCACATTTCTGGAAATTTGAGTCCTTGGAGAGGACACAGCCCCACACTTCTTGGCCAGTTGGCAGTGCCTGTGGATGAAACAGAAAATTCCTTTGCTGCCAGGCAGGTGAAACCCAGGCCAGGCTACATAGCTTGGCGAATAGAATAAACCTGAATTTAGCTCCTCTGCTGTGTGCCACAGGGTAAACTTGCATAGCCATATGGGAAAGATGGAGGTGGGGGCGGGGAATCCTTCACTTAAACCTCAACATTTTAGTGAGCGTTGCTTTGCCTCCACAACCATTTTCTTTCTTAACCTCCAGTTGTCTTTCCTACTAACAGATGACTTGTTGAGGTAGTTTTTCTTTTCCAGAAAGAAATGTTAAGGTTATTGCTTGTCAAAAATATATATCACTCATTTAAATAATATTTAAATTATAACATATTGATATTTTCCCCAGAAATATTGGCAAAAAGTTTTGAGAGCAGTTTTCATTCTAAATTCTTGTTTCTGTTTTTTCTTTTTCTTTTTTTTCTTTTCTGAGACGCTGTCTTATAATACAGCCCACATTGGTCTCAAACTCTTAACCCTTCTGCCCCAGCCTCTTGTGTGCTGGGATTGCAGATATGCATCATCATGCCTGGATAATCCTAAACTGTTTTAGAAGGTATTTTGTATTAGGGAAAAACTATAAGATAACAATAATCCTTACATGTAATGTGTCCTGGCTGTAATTTTTTAGGACAGGAAATACATACTATTTTGATCTGTAACTATTGAGATTTGGAGGAAAATTAGTTATACAAGCTTGTACTCTTAGCAAAGAGATATGGTTTTTATTCCTTCCATTTGATAAAACTAAGAAGAAATGAAGCTACCAATAATTCATTGTAGTTTAATATATAGACGTTGAATATGCTTGGTACTAGAGGTATTTTGAATTTTTAGTTATTTGAGGATATTTGAATTATAGATAGTGAAACAAGTTAGGGATGAAACTCAAGTCTAAATACAAAATTCCTTTATATGTCATGTAAACATTATGCACATGGCCTGAAGGTAGTTATGTATACTACTTTTAATGCAAGTGCATTTTGACTGTGACTGATCACATGAGATCAGGTGTGGAATTTTCCACTTGCGACATCACATTGGTGTTCAAAAGTTTTGGATTTTGGAGCATTTCAGATATCAAATTTTTTAGAATGTTCACTTGGTTCCAACTGTTTTCTGAGGTAATTTTCTTGTAACTCTTAGCTCTATCAACCAACCCTGGCCTCAGAAAAGATCAAAACTTGACCAAAATTAGGACATCCTTTAAAATGTTATTTGTCTTTCAGACATTTACCATGGATTCAATCTTAGCTAAATGAAAAAAATGAAGTTGTTCTTGTTAGCTTTTAAGAATTAGTAGGCAAAATAGAAATTATACGAGTGTTTCTTGAATCCAGCCATATTGTATACTTGCCTTGGTTAGTGAAGTTTTCTGAGCACTGAGATTAAAGCCCACTCAAGGAGCTTTTAATAGCATCATCCCTATTTTAGCTAAATCCTGATTTCTATGATAATATATAGCCTAAATCACATTAGAGACCTAAACATATTTGTTTGCCAAATGAACAGCCATGAAAAATGTACCTGACCCATCATGAATGTTTATGAGATAAGAAAGAGAATTTTGTAAGCCATGGGTACATGTTTTGGGTTTAAACACTGTGGTTAGAAAGAAGAAAAAAGAGTCCTTAAATTGCAGTTTTCCTCAATTGCAAACCTTTTGAAAAGCATGTTACCTCCAATGTTGACAGAAAATTTTCTTCTGCTTCAGAGGTGACAGCATCAGACAAATACTGCTATGAGAAACTGAATATCGAGGGGACTGAGAAGGGTAACTGTGGGAAGGACAAAGACACATGGATACAATGCAACAAGCGGTGAGGCCACTCGATGCTTAGCACAGAGTTCATCCCTCAGTCAATCACAAGTGTAAATTTTGAGTGACCAGTATGTTCTTGTTTTCTGTAGTCAACAAAGAATGATCCTACCTGCACCTGCATATATTCCCAGGGCTCCAACCTTGACATGTACTTGACCTCTCTCCTAAGGTCAAGCGGTTATATATTTGGAAATTTATATATAACAAAAGTTATGTATTTGGCTGGGTGCCTGTGGCTACTCAGGAGGCTGAGATCTGCGGATCACAGTTCAAAACCAGCCCAGGCAGGTAAGTCTGTGAGACTTTTTATCTCCAATTAACCACCAGAAAACTGGATGCCTTGAGCTGAAGAGCTCAGGGACAGCACCCAGGCCCAGATTCAAGCCCCACTACCAACCACAAAGAATTATATATTTGCAAAACAAATATATAACTTTCAACAAATGTATAACTTTCTCATGTAGAGAACAGCTCCCGCAACTCAAAAATTGTGAACATTAAAGCCACCAGAATACATTCTCTGCTGTTAAAAAAATCAGTTGGCCCTGTTATTCCATCTAGCCCTTGTTCTTACCAAAGATCTGTGGTTTGTTCTCCTGAGTAGAAGCCTCAGAATATTTGTACATTTTCCAGATGCTAAATTATGGTCACTCTTCACTTTTATTACCCCACCATTCCACTCCTTCCATCATTCATTTAACTCATTTAATTTTGCAATGGTCTTGATACATAGCCCAAGCTGAATTCAAATTTGAGATTCTCCTGCCTCAGCATCCCAAGTGCTAGAATTCCAGGTTTGTACCATCATGCCCAACATCACCTATCTTTAATCAGTCTCTTTTATTTTCATTCTTTTTGCCATTACCCTACTGATATTAGTTTATTAGTTTAATAGTAGTTTTTTGTTTGCTACCAGTCTCTAGCATACTTCCATCAGATTAATCTTCTGAGTCATTTTGATTTGGCCAATTCTGTAACTATTTATTTATTTATTTAGCTGATCCTGTGGCTTGGGTGCTCTCCCTGATGTTCTTTTTAAATTTTTTTATTTTTTAAATTTTTGCTCAAGGCTAGCACTCTACCGCTTAAGCCACAGTACCACTTCCAACTTTTTCTGTGATTAATTGGAGACAAGAGCCTCTCAGACTTTCCTGCCCAGGCTGGCATCGAACCACGGTCCTTAGATCTCAGCCTCCTGAGTTGCTAGGATTATAAGCATAAACTACCAGTGCCAAGCCTTTAGCTCTCATTAGTTTCACTCAACATTCATTGAGTATATCAGTTTATCAAGACTTGAGTAAGCTTGGATACTTCATCTTTTTTCTTATTTTTTGGATGAAGAAATGGCGATACAGTCAATGAATTTATACAAACTCACTGTAACTAAGATGCGATAAAAATGATATTAAAGCAGTCTGATTTTAGAACTCTCTCTTAATCTCTGAATGTCAGTGACACAAATAAAATTTTAGGAATCTTAGCTTAGCATCTCTTCCATGATTTGTGCCAAACTATGTACTTCAAAATTTTCTTCTCAGTTTCACAGTCTAACAAATCTTACTTTTCCTAATGTGTACATTATTGTCCTACCTTCAAAACTATGTTTTTGCCATTCATTCCTCAGATACAGCCTTGACACACACCGCCACCAGGAAAAATGTACTCATTCTCAAAGCCTAGTTAGAAAACCCTTTATAAAGTGATTTCTTGATTGACTCTAGAAATAAATCATATCATTGTTTTGAACTCCCACAGGCTCTTTTGATAGTCTTCTCGTCATGTCCCCTTTATTTCATAATAGTTTATAGATGCAATTTTTCTTCTCATCTAGAGTATGATCTCCTTGAGCATAAAAGTCTTGTTCAGTTTTACTTATATATTCTAAATTACTAAGAAAGGTTTATTTATATAAGTGCAACTACAAAAAAATTTGAATAAATACCTCTTCTATTTGGAAAAACATTTTGTTCATGAAATATGAAAATGATATATTTTGAAATTAATTTTTAAGAAGTGAATTAATATATATTTACATTGGTAATAAATACCGAATCTTTTATCTATTTGTTAGTCTGGTATGTCCATATATAATCTTGCTAGTCTGCTAGTCAGTTTTTATAATATACTTTAAAATATGTTTGTTATTACCCATCAGTAATTAAAACATGTTTGAAATAAAGGATATATAATGTAATATTTATTACCAGTAAAAATTCTTTACAAATCAAATTAGAATCATATACAATCGTAAGGAAAACAATACATCTTTAAAGGGGTAGTGAGTCTTTGAAGTTCAGAATCTATTCAATATAAGCATGTATAACATTTTATTCTAGGAGACGAGTTATAGAATTATCTATTATATAAAAGAATACTCTTCCAGAGATCATTCATTCCTTTCTCAAATACTAAGAAAGCAAAGTATTACAGGCAAAGAGATTCTGATAGAAAAGTTTTTATCTGATATATTACTTTTCTTTACTGGAACTAACCAGCAATAAAGGAAAAACTAAAACCATTGGGATTTAGCTGCACCAGTAAGAGTTTCAGAGAAGATGCTTTTCAGAGCAGGGAACAAACTAAAACTGAGTTTACATTTATTTAATTTTGCTTGGCGTATTATTAAGTGATATAGTTGATGGAAACTCATTCTAAAATGAGAGATAATTGTCATTCCAGACGTCTGTGGATTGTTATATCTTTGGGGAGAGAGGAAATGGGAGATAATTGGTACTCTTTTTAACACAGGGATGTGCTTTGTGGTTTCCTCTTGTGTACCAATATTGGAAATATCCCAAGGCTCGGAGAACTGGATGGTGAAATCACATCCACTTTAGTTGTGCAGCAGGGAAGAACATTAAACTGCAGGTAATTACCTAACTGTTACTGAGAAATTCAGTCATCTGTCTTTCCAGAAATGCAGCTTAGGACTACTGCTTTCAGTTCATGTGCATGCTAGTAAGCTGAAGTAGTAGGTAATCAATCACTTTGAGATAATTGAATAAATATAGTGGGAAAGAGATAAAAGACAGTGAGCATTAGCTGAATGTAGTATATGAAGTAGTTGTGGATATGATATGTTATTCAGTAAAATCCTATAGGGTAGTGTACATTTCCTTCTTTTTAAGGAAATGATCACTTCTAGGTAAAGTCAGTGAGTTAAATGTCTGCATCTACTTTGGTCCCTTTCTCAATCTAATCCCATCAAACTGACTAAATACATCTTTTTTTTTGTGGAAGGGAAGGAAAAAAACAAATCGTTTAAATAGGGATACAGGTGAACCCATTACAACAATGAGACATACAAGTCGTTATGTCGAAAACGTACTTTACAACTTTGGTAGTGGGGGGAGGAGGGTTGGGTGAGAGGGTGGGGGGAGGATGGGATGGGAAGGGGAAACAAAGGAAGAGGCTACAATGCTTGATAAGAAATGTACTCATTATCTTGCCCATGTAATTGTAACCCCTCTGTACAGTATTTTCACAATAAAAAAAGAAAAAAAAGAATTCAGATATGCATGAAAAATACAAAAATGGAGACAAAAGTAACATCTTAAAGAAAAGAATCCCAAAAGTTTTCACAAAGAATATAAAACTAAAGGCACAGGAATTAAAAATGGTTTAAAACTTAGTAACAAGACCCCTGGGAATCAGAAGAAGATAGATATAATTATTTAAAAATTTGAATATTGTAGAAAATAGCAGCTCTAGCTTGAAATTAGTAAGAATATTTAAAGACATTGTTAATGTGTAAATATTTCCAAAATTTGTCCTCCTACATTCTTTCTGAGTAAGCTACTAGATTTAGACTCCACAAAAAATGGAAGAGTAAACCAAAGAATAGAAAGGCAAAGGAGATAAGGAACAAGATACTTATGTAGACAGTGTAATCCTCAAATTAATAATGAGGAGAAGCTAAGATTTATAGCTCTGTGTCAGGTTGTTTTTTTTTTTTAAAGCAAAACATAGAGCAAAAACAAAGCAAAACAGGTCAGAAACTCCAGCTTAGCCTCAGATATATTATCAGTGGAGATTTGATAGCCAGTGGAGATTTTGGATTAGTTTTGAATTAATGATGATAAATTCTTAGAAAAGTAAGCAAAGAAACTGCAAGCAAATACAAGACTAAGGGAAAACAAAAAGTAGTATAAAAAAACCAGAGTTTTATCATGACAGCACCATTTCATTCAACTGAATAATTTATGTAGTTAATAACAATGTCCATTTCTTTAATTGATCTATTGATTAAATAAAATTTATGATAAAAGAGTAAGGAAAAGAGGAAAATGTGTCTTCAGTGAGGACAGAGAAAAAGATAAATGATCAAGTTTCCTATATAGAAGTCAATTGATAACACATAAAGCTGAATCAATAAGACAGAGCCATAATTTAAATATAAATATATTAGTTGTACAGACTCAGTGTATCATAAGAATGATCTATTGGTGAACAATTTATATTTGACTCTACATAAATGCATAATTTTTATAAAAATAATCAAAAAGACTAAAAAGTGTTATGTTAGTATTGACTTGGTACCATATATGATAAACTGATTATTAATATAAGATTTCAATTCTTATCCTGATTTTGCTTAATCCTAAAAAATTTGAGGTTGCTATATTGAATCTATATAATAGTTCAGTTATACTCAAATAGAACTTGTAGATATTCAAGATTTGGGGAAAACTAAAGCTATTTTCATCTTCATTTGAAATACATGTGAACAGTAGAGACATAAGAATTAAAGGTAGCTTAAGACTCATGGGAAACTTAATTATCAAACCAAATTCTACTAAATACAGCCTAATAGACTTATACATAACATCAAATGGTTAGGTTTAAACCTCAAACTATATTAATTTTGTTAAAAAGAATTAGACAAAACGTGAACCAACTCAACAGTGATACTTACTAGACAGACTATGTTGGAGATTAACCTAACAACTTAGATGGGTGGTCAGGAGGGGAAAAAGCAGGGGAAGGGGAATGAAGGAGGGGATAACCTTGTTCATTACCTGATTTATGTAACTGTAACCCCCTCTGTACATCATCTTTACAATAAAATTTAAATTAAAAAAGAATTAGATAAGCAATTTAATTGCTTTCTCCAATTGAGAGTTGGACATGCTCACATTACTGGATTTTACTAAATGATAACTAGAAAATAGATGAAATGGTCTTTCCCCCTTCTTTAGTTTTTGAGCATATTCTCAAGATGAATGAATAAATGGAATCCCATCTGCTTTCAATCCCAATTTATATTTAGTGGTGGGCATGTTAAGCTTGAAGAAGATGGAGATATTGGCTATGTGGAAGACGGGACTCCCTGTGGTCCTCAGATGATGTGCTTAGAGCGCAGATGTCTTCCTGTGGCCTCTTTCAACTTCAGTACTTGCTTAAGCAATAAAGAAGGAACTATTTGTTCAGGGAATGGAGTAAGTATTCATGATTTCATCATTGGAACCATTTGTTTCTTTTATCTTCAATCCTACAATGCTTATTTCCCTAATTATAGAAAACAGCAGTATTCAGGTTTTTGTTTGGCATGTGAGCATCGATTTTATCATAGCTGTTTGATTATTTTTGTTGAGTAATCTGAGAAAGTAAAAATAAGAAGAATGTAATTTTCCTTAATGAATTGTTTTTTAATATAATCTCATATAATGCTAGTTTTCTACAAGTGAACTAATAATGTGAATTAAACTGCAATGGAGGTTTTAAGAGAGTAAAATAATAGGTGTTAACCACAACATTTAACTACTGTTGTGGTCTTATCACTGACCAATGAGAACAGATCATAAATAACCATTACCCACAGAAAATAAAACCTAAACATTAGAACAGAATAATCACGGAGGAAAACTGGCATTTGACGGATTTTTAATTTTTTTCTTCCAGTTATGTATCAGATAATATAAGTTCCATGTAAATAAGTTTGTAGGTTAAAGATTCATCCTCCACTGGTGACAAATTTTGTGTTATTTTCAGTTAGGAAATCCAATACTGACACTTTCCTGGTTCTTTTTCTTTATGCATGTACTATGTTTGTTTGTTTGTTTCCTACTGTCATTCTAAATTCTTTGTGTGACTGAATTGTATTATCCAGTTAAGGCAAAGGAGACACATCTTGCGATTGTGGGCTTGAAATCCTGGTCATTTCATGTAATGTTCTTGAGGTATATGCCAAAAATATATAGAGAGAAAGAACTGTCAGTTAATTGCTAAAAGATAGGAATTTTATGACACATGATAAAGAGAACACATAGTTAAATAGCTCTGCTCCTGTACTGTGGGGGTCAGAAAACACTTTTTGTGGGGGCAATGGAAAAGAGTAATGGAATTATTTTTGATCAATAATGTGAATGAATTATCATATTTTACTCATAAAATTGGAATATGTAATTCAGAGAACAGATGTTTTTTTCTAGTAACTGTTAGTTTAAGGAGTTAGTAAAAGAGTGACAGATGCAACTACAGCCAGGTGGTAAATAGCACCCAAGTAATTTATAATAATTATACATAATAATTTTATCCTATGTAATTTTAACTTATAGTAGATCAACTATATTTAAAGGACAAGAAGTACAGTGAATCTTCTTTATATGCTATACATCATACAGTTGGGTATAGATTTAGAATCAGATGACTTTGAGTCTCAGGTCTATTTCTTAGTAGGTAGGTGACTGACAATAAGCTCTTTTATGAATCAGTTTTGCTGCTGAATCCAGGGCTTAAACACAGAGGCTTGAGCTCACTTGCTTGGCTTTCTTACTAAGAGCTGGTATTCTACTACTTTGAGACACACTTTTCAGCTATTTAATTGGATGGAGTCTCACAGACTTTTTGCCTCATTTGGCTTCAAATTTTGATCCTCCATATCTTAGCCTCTTGAGTAGCTAGGATTATAGGTTTGAGCCACTGGTACCCAGATATAGTTCCTTTTCTGTAAAATGAAGATGATAATAGTGACTGTGCTATAGATTGGTATTAGCTAATGCTTCTAGTGCGCTTAGAACAATGTCCGGGACACATAGAGTGAATGTTCAATAAAAGTTAGCCATGCTATCATTAATTAACAGATGGTCCCTGTCCTTGTCACTAACTCGCTGGTACTATCAAATGATATGAAAATTGATGTTTGGAGAAGCCAAGGGGCTGGGTAAAACCTTAGTACATCAGTAATGAAATGGAGATATTTCAAATCTAGGCCTTTTGACATTAAACTTAAATCTCTTGTTTCATAATGTTTAACCTGTAGCTCTAAATGGAGCTATTCTATAGTCACGTTAAGATTCAGATATATGGTGCCTTCTAGGAAACTTAAGATTGAAACACCCTGCAGAGCAAATCTGACTGGGAGCAATTGTACATATGAAACCTACCTGTACTCTCTCCACTCATTTGTTTCATATTATAAGATGCAGGTGTAGATATTGCTTAGATTAATAGAAATATATTATTGTCCTATATTTGAAAAGAATATTTTATGTGAATTCTTTTTCTGTTTTATTTGTGAGAGTAATTAGTTGCTATGACCTTGCGGTATAGCTACTTTCTATGGCTTGGATTGAGTTGTGAGGGTTGTGGCTTTCAGACTTTTCCTTTCAGTTAACTGTAAAACACTGGGCCTTCTTCCTATGTCTTTCTTGGACTTCCTTTTGTCTTGTTCTACTTCCTAAAAAATAACATTTTTGGCATAAAGATTTCTTCCAAAGTAAAACAAAAGCCTTTATATTAGATGATTGACCAATATTTTATTTCTGTTTAATTTTTAAATTTCATAACATATGTTAGTAAAATTCAAAATAATAAATTCATTTTTTTAGACACAGATTAATTCCCTTGTTACCAAAGTTATGTTCCCTTGTAGGTCATTGGTTAAATCTTGAGATAAACGTATTTTTAGGTTCAGGAGTATTTAGTATTGAGAAAAAAGTGCTAATACTTTTTTCACTATCATCAAATACTAGCCATGTAATGCTTAGAAATAAATGTTGACTTTTTCATGTCTCTGTAACAGAGACTTGACACTTACTCTAACTTGATTGCATTTCAGGTTTGCAGTAATGAATTGAAGTGTGTATGTAACAGGGACTGGATTGGAGCAGACTGCAACACTTACTTCCCTCACAAGGATAATGGAAATGCTGGTATCATCCTGTCTGGCAATGGTAGGGTCTTTGTTTTACATCATTATATCATCTTTATGTGAAAGGAAAGAGAAAAAAAGCACTGTGGACATTTTTATTTGGGTTAATTTTATGATAACTCAAAATAAATTGTATCTACATAAAAAGGAGTGATACAACTGGAATTTATCTAGTGACACTGATTATTTTTCATTAAATGGTGGTTATTTGCCATACTAAATCCACTGACTGAGCCTTATTATGTCCTACTTTAAAGATTTTTTTTCATGTAGAGTTTTTGACAAAAAGGTAAGTCAAAAGAAACTTAAGTTTTTTTATTCCTCTCTAAATGGTTCTATGTTTTCTTTGTATCATTGCTTTTCCTGATTTTATTTGAAGGCAGCATATTTTCTCAAAACCAGAAAATACAACTGTGCAAAATGCACCTGGGCAGAAATTAAAATTGAACTTATGCAAAAAATAATTTGATGAAAGGGTTGACATTGATCAAGATTTATTGTATTCATATTCTTTGTACAACTACTTAAAGATAAAAAATTAAAAAAGGTCTTATAGTGGGAAAAAACAGTTGATTTTTCTTTTCTTTGAAAAATATTCGTGTTTTTAAAACAAACAATGCTAGTTTGATGATTACACAGCTGGAAAAAAAGTTCTGAAAGAGTTTTAAATATTTGATCTTGCTTATTTTTTCCTTTGCAGGTGTTGCTGGCACTAATATCATAATAGGGATAATTGCTGGTACCATTTTAGTGCTGGCTCTCATATTAGGAATAACTGCATGGGGTTATAAGTAAGTGGAACGTCTCAATATTATTGCTTTAAAATTAAACATTTAAACATTTTGATTAAATAAGAATATCTAGAAAATTCTGCATCACTGGATAAACATACTTACATAAAAAAATCATTTTAGCTCAACAGTTGATTGGTCTGTGGGTATGGTTCAAGCCTAACATGTGCAAGGCTTTGGGATCAATCACCACTAGTGAGAAAAGAGGTGGTTTTTTTTTTTTAATTTTAAACTGGGTATGATAGAATTTACATGTAATTTTATATACACAGGAGGCTGGAGCAAGAGAATTGAAAGTTTGAGTCCAGCCCAAGCAAAGTTAACCAAATGCTATCTTTATAAAACAAAATGAAGGACTGGTAATATGGCTCAAATGTAGTGCTTGTCTATTATGTGCAAGGCCATGGGTTCAATCCCCAGCACTGCAACAAACAAACAAGCAATTAAAAAAAATAAAACAATCAGTGGATTACTCTTGTCATCATTAGAAGCCACGATGATTGACCATATTTTACATTTTTTAAAATTTTTTTTTGGTCGGTCGTGGGGCTTGAACTCTGGACTTGGGCGCCATATTTTACATTTTAAGACAACTTTCTTCTATTCTAAAAGTACCGAATGTTTATTAAGGCATTAGAAATTAATTAAAACTTAATCCAAGTTGTGTTTATGTGAAGTCTGAAGTCTAGGAAAGACAGTAAATTAGGAAGCCTTACTGCTTTGATAACTGCATCAATAAGACTTGTATCAACAGAACAATAGCAACAGATATGTTAGCGAGAACTTGCATGGCTATGCAACACACTATGGGCAAAATCCTCATAGCCCGTGTGAAGAGACACACTTATTTATGACATGTAGGTATGTTTTTGTGATATTTTAATTTCCTAAAATTAAAATTCAACATCATGTTCCAAGGTTTCATCGTTGTTCTCTGGTTTCATATATGACAAGCATTGAGATTAGGACCTGGTCCAAATAAGCAAAATGTGATTATTTGCTTTAATTACTATTAAAGTCTTAAACCAAATCATATACACCCTTTAAAAGTATATCTGATGATTGCTTGTGAGATTAAAACCCTGAATTTCTTTGACTAAAAAGGAGGATCAATTATTTAATATACTGCCAGAATAAATGTGTGGAACAAACATTAAAATGCAGAGGGACATGCATGGGAGACTAAATTAACAGGATGCAGAGAGAATCACGGCATAGTCTACTTGACATAACCTAGTGAGGGAGCTCATCATAGTAGCAAGTTTTGCTCTGATCCAGTTCAAAGCAGATGCTTAATACCAGTGGGCTTTTTTGATATGCAGTATCAATATGCAATGTGCCATATCATTAGATTGTCTGATTTGGGGCATAATATTTAGAGTTAAACAATGATATGTCTAAGCTAAGCACTGGTGGCTCATGCCTGTAGTCTTAGCTACTCAGGAGGCTGGGATCTTAGGATTGCAATTCAAAGCCAGCCCAGGCAGGAAAGTCAATGTCACTTTCATGTCCAGTAAGCCACCAGAAAACAAGAAGTGGTGCTGTGGCTGTAAATGGTAGAGCACTAGCAGATGAGTGCAGATGCTCAGGGACAGCACCCAGGCCCCGGGTTCAAGCCCGTGATGGACAAAAACAAAGCATACACACACACACACACACACACACACACACACACACACACGTGTGCATGCATGCACACACATACATATATATCTTTTGTATATTTATGATTTATCTCTCCACATGTCACAGGCTAGTGAGATATATATTGGATTCATATTATGTCCTTGACTTCACTGATGTAGGATTTCTGTAGTAATTGCCATCCCTAGCACTGATATTTTCAAATGGCTTAGATTCATTTGGTCACATGAAAAGTATTAGTTTTAGAAGATGTTCTTCTGCTACCTGATGCAAATGGATCTTTCATTTTTACAATATGGGAAATATATTCTTCAGAAACTATGAAAACTAAATACTTGTTCTTATTATTTATGAAATTACCTATGTCTGTTGAGGTAATCTGTTTTCTACTGGTTTCTTTGGGAATTTAATTTTATTTAAGCATTTCTGAATTTATACACTTTGCTAATAGAAAAATACACTCTTCAGAGAGGTAGATATGTGACTCAAGTTGTAGAGCACCAGCCTTGAGTGATAAAGCTCTTCAAGACCTTCAGCACCCAGGCCCTGAGTTCAGCACCCAGTACTGGCACGCACGCACACACACACACACACACACACACACACACACACACACACACACACACAGTATTTCTTTGCAAGAAACAGAAAAATATTGTTAATATTGCAATATCTTCCTCATAATCATTTGAACCTAAATGATTAGTTTTAGTGTTTCTAAAATTGTTCAGAATATATTTAGAAATAAAAATCTCAGAAATTTTATGAGGATTTAACTTATGAATGTGGTATTTTACTTAGTCCATTTGAAATTTAGAAGCAGATTTAGCACCTGCTGCCTATTTGTTAATTTTGCATAAGAAATCACTTTGTATTGATCTGGTAACTACATAGGTAGTTAAAGATTACTTCGCATAGTTGGAATCCTTTTTATAAAGAGTTCTTTCCATGAAAGTTTCCACCCCTACTCTAAGTCTTAGATCAGGGACTAGAAAGTGAGAAATACTCATCTGGAAGTACACAACTCAAATAATCAAACTGAGCAAGTGAAAGAATAGAAAGATATCTGAAAGAAATGAATACTAATATTGAACGGACACTTTTTGCCCACATGTTCTCATTGTGATCCTTACAATATGGATGAAATAGATTGGCCAGGGAAAGAACTACAAATTAAATCCATTAGGAAACTTTATCCATCATAGAGGAGGGAGCTCAAAGTGACTCAATCATTTGACCTTTCTAACCTACCATAGAAATATTAGCAATCCAGTCAAGATAGACTATTTTAATTCCTTTGAAAAAAGGTTACTGGTACTGCACCATCACATCCTTTAGAACAAATTTTTGTTTTACATTGGTTTATTTTGAAGTTTAATACAAACTTACTTTAGAGCATGGTAAAATGAAAAAAAACAGTAAAACAAAAAATATGGTAGAATAACAATTATCTATAGCTATTTCCATTGTCAAGCTTTGGTGATTAGTAATGACTAAGAAGGACCAGAACAGTTATGCGTTAACTATTCTTTGTTATATGGTAAAATAAAATGGTTTTGATGTGCATTTCTACTTCCTTATTTGAAATTCTTAGGAATAGCAGTAGAGGTGGTTGTATCGCAGCAGGAACAAAACATTATTTTATTTCTATGAAAATACAATTAATTTATTTATGTAAGTAAACCAATATAATATGTCCCAAAACCCATATTTAAAATAGGATTGACTTCAGAACAATGAAAAATATTATTGCAATTCAACTGATACTGAGAAATCAGTTGTACTGTAACAGTTACACTTTTAAAAATGGATAACTGTTTGATAATATTAACCCTTCGGTGTCTGTGTCATCTCTTCTAATGTTAAAGTGATAATTAAATACATATTTCCATTTTAATTATGCAATTCAAAATAGTCTTATAAAGATCTTTCAGTAAATGTGGGAGCTTTTATGTTTCATATTGTTGTTAATGTACTTCTGAAAGTAACTAATTTTTATGTTTTCCCTCTTTTTCTTCTTGTCCTGAAAAGAAACTATCGGGAACAGAGGTATGTGATAAGTCTAAGCATAATCGAAAAGTTTACCTTCGGTTAGCATTGTTGGAATTTAAACATGAAATTATAAATCAAATTTACTTTGATTTTAATGTAACAATAATCTTGATTTTTTATGACCTTGAAGTAATCATTTTAAATCACATTATTTTTAATTATATATGAAAATAGAACTTTTTCATCTAAAACAAACTTCTATGTTAAGTTGTCATGTTTGTTTACATTAGCTTACTGGCTTTTCTTTGTGCTTTTAACTCTTACTTGCCTAATACTGTCTGAAGGAATTAGGTTTTCTCTGTTATTATTGTTATAGTAATAACTTCCATACATAAATGACAAAGTTTTATCTGAGTACAATGTTGGTATTAGGGGTATGTCCTGGCACTTGGTAAACCTGCTATTTTTGTATAAAAATATTTTTGCATTGACTAAGTAATCACATAGGTAGTTAAAGAAGGAATTAGCATAATGAAAATCTCTTATGGCCTTCTTAACTTTAAAATAAAATGTTCATAAGGAAATCAAACATCCTATTTATGTACAAAATATGTTTTTCTCTAAGATGTGCCTATTTTATCAAAATCTAATGTGCCACATTGTATTAGGACACACCTTTCACTATTTACAAAAAATTGCTAATAGCTATTGATATAAAAATTAAAATATCATGTTGGAAATTGAAAATCCATACCAGGTGTTGCATTGTATATAGTATTTAGTTCTGTGTTCAGAGTATTCACAAAGATTCCTATCTATTGAGTTTTTTTCCATTGTTGCATCACCTGACTATGGTAAATTAAGAACAAGGTATAATACACGTGTTGACACTTTCTCAGTCCAACCACTACTTTCACTTTTTCATCAATAGAAAATTTAAATTTACTATTCTGTTTGCTTGTGTGTTAAAATTTATCTAAGAGTTTAGCCACAAATTATCTGTAGAATCTCTGTAAAGAAAGGTGCCCCTAGATAAGGTTTGAAATCTGGTTAACATAGGTATTAGAAAATATGGACTTTACTCTAGAATAAGGAACTCAACATTAAAAGAAAAGATAGAAGTGTGACAAACTTGATACAGTTTTTAAAACAATTGGATTACTTTGTGAAGTCTTTTGAATTCTCATACAAAAATACTTTAATAGGGCAGGAGCATATGGTTTCTTGCGTAGAAGTTGAGTAATCATACAAGAACTCTAAGACTGCTAGTTTTCTTCAGTGGAAAGTGAAATTATGCTGATAAGATAAAAATTGATGACTCACTTCATGTCCATAGGAGTTAAAGCTATGATATAATATAATAGTACTGAATAGAAAACAAGGAAAGTAGAAGTTAGCAAATATATAACCCAAGAAAAGGTAAAATAGTACTCAAGATATTTTTTGGGTAGGGATGCTATCCAGAATAAAGAAATTGTTCACACTATGCAAAAAGTTAGTATTTTCAAAGTGTGCACTAGTTGTCATTCTCATATAATATATCCATAGATATAGTTAAAAACATTTTGTACTCTGAATTGCCTTTATTTGACTGATATAATTTCACATCTCCTAAATTACTAAGTCATCATTTCATTAATCTGGCTACCCTTTTTAACATCTAGTCTTATTTTTGAGAGCTATCTCATCTCCAGTAATATTTGTGCTTTTGTTATATTTTTGACATATTTCAACCAAATCTCTTTTAACTTTGTCTATAACCCATGACAGTAGGTTTGTACATTAAAAATCTCACAATGGAGAGTAACAAAGAATAGACTTTAAATGTGTCTAAGTAACTTTTAAAAGAATCTTCTTTTGCACTGTATACTTTTTTCTTTTTCACTATAAATATGTGTGTGTATATATATATATATATATATATATTAGTAGCTATAGAGGAGGTGATCAGTCCAATTGACAAAAGCTTGCATTAGGAAAATTTCAGTCTTACAAAATCATCTACATATGTTCAAATAAAGACTTATCCAGTCCCCAAGAAGGTCAAGAAATAGAATTAATCATTTGGAGGGCCTCATTGCCTTTAGATTTTCCTTTAAGGTTCCATTGGGACAAGAAATTGACAAGGAATTAGAAATCTTCTATTATGTAATGATGGGAATTAGTTAATGTTTTCCCCCTCAACTCTAAAATCGTATAAAGTTCTTTGTAATCTTTAAAACACTATGGGGGGCATAGTTATCAGGATTGTATCTGACCTTCAGACTAATTTTTCTGATCTTCAGATGAAAGGGGTAGATGTTCTTCTTAGAGAAGAAGGCAAAAGTCATCAACCTGAATGATGGACCCATACCTATCTTTCAGCTGGTAAAAATGTTGATGAACATCAAGTTTTGCTTTGAGTGTAAATATCCATAAGGAAACCAGACGTTCTATTTAATATAATTTTACAATCTCCCTGTAAGCCAAGAGTATATAAATAGATACAAAATATTCATATAACCACTTCTGAGATTCTTGTTAATGTTGTGATGGCTCAGAAATGCTATATTTATTGGTTTTCAAACTCTTGGAGACAATAGGCAAGTATGTATTTATTCTATAAATGAATCACATAGGAAATGTCTTATGAATAAAAAATAATAGAAACTCCTTTTCTAGGGCATGGTAGAAGCAGAAACCACACACATACAACATCACTTTATATTGCCAATATCATTCAAGACATTGGGTAATTATGAGGCTGGCTATTTATTTCTTTAAAATGTCCCGGGGAAAAAAAGTCCACCTTTTTTCTAGTTGGTTTTATTGTTTGTTGTAGAATAATTGCTTATAGCTGCTATCTGGTTTGTTATAGGAGCTATAAGCAGTCAGGCTTACAAGTAGAAGTAGAATAATGCAAAATAACTCAACTTAGATTTCTAAAACATCCAACTAAAATTCTTTTATTTTTTCCTGAAAAGGAAACACATCACTTTGATTAATGAGGAATAGAATACTTAGTTCCTGTGTTTCAGATCTGTGGTTTTACCTTAAGCAAAATTTCCTCCTCCACTCTATTTCTTTTCCCCTTCACCTGTTTTAGCCACTTTATTTTCTGCTTGTGGACTTTGCCCAAACCTTTCTTAGTTTCTTTTAATTTTATTATTTCAGTGTTATTCATGCACCTGTCATTGTTGACTTGGCATGTACCTTTTATAATATTTCTTAAAAGAGTAAAATAACAGCTCCAAGAAGAGACATCCTGGACACCAATAAGGCAAATATCTCCTCCATCATTAAGGTTAAGACTTATTTTTATCTCATTTTGAATATTCACCAAGATTATTTAGATAAATATCAACGAATGATGTTATGATAGATCAGACTTCTTTTACAACAGGAATAACCATTTTCCTAATGTCTTTTTGGGTAATCCTGCAGTATTTCACATAATGTTTAAATTTATCTTTGAAACTCTTCCTCCCTCTTGCAACAATTGTCTTCCTTCACAGGACTACTGCACAGCTTCAAATAACCCTTTGATTCAATTTTCAGTCTTTCTCAACCTTCTTCATGTTTCTTTTAAATAAATAATGAAACTCCAAATTGAACACTGAACTGCAATAAGAATTTATTTGGATTAATTATAGAGTAGCTTAGAACTCAATCAATTTTTTAAAACTAAATCAAGGCCACATCCATGATATAATGTTTTGAAATCACGAATAGTTTATTCACTGCCTTAAAAAAATACCCTGCTTTATCTGGGGTAGGACTGTCCAAAAACATCTCCTTTAACATCAGTTTTTTAAAAGACAAAACTCTAACCCCCCCAAATATAATGAAGTTTATAATGACACAACCTCCCCATCTTCCCACATTTCCCCCTTGAGTAGTTAGATTCATCCAAGCTACAAAGATTTCCAGTGCTTGCATTTCTGACTTCTATAGTTAGAATGACTTTATCTTGTCACATTTATTAATAATCTTATGTGTTGTTACAGATTTGATTCATGTAGATCATTATCCCTACCTCTCTTTTTCCTGAAATAATATTTGTATATGTCTGTGTTCATGTGTGTGTGTGTCTTGTTTTCTGACTCTGAAATGTTTATTATGCCTTAGACAGTTACCCCAGGGAGATTATGTAAAAAAGCCTGGAGATGGTGACTCTTTTTATAGCGACATTCCTCCTGGAGTCAGCACAAACTCAGCATCTAGTTCTAAGAAGAGGTCTGCTTTTCTGTCGCATTTTCAGATTTCTACCTGTTCCATCACACATTATTCCATTAGTCAGAACATTTCATTATTTTGCAGCAGGTTTGATTACTTCTTCCTTCTTTCTTGAATGTTAAAAAATAGTATCCTTTGTTCTTTGATTACTCTATTTCAAAATGCCATATGCTCAGAACCACTTATTATACAAATCAAATTCCAAAATGGAAACAAAATAAAACAATAACAACAACAAAAATTCTAAATCTTTGTAGAAACCACAGGGTTATTTTTTAGTCTTGCACTTGTATGTATTAAGAAACCAAACATAGTAATTAATATTTTAAATGGTGAGCTTTATGTCATGTTTGGTAGTCAAAGAAAAAGGTTACTGTCATGCTTCAATAAAAGCAGTTAAGATAAATTGTGCTGCTTTGACTTTTTTTTATTATATCTATCAAAGCTAAGCTCGCTTTAAAACAAAGATTGCTTCTCTGTGATCATGTATTTGGATATTATGATTTTGCCTTTTTTTCTGGAACGATTATTTGTAGACTTTTATAACTTACCCCTTAGCAGACAATGTATGCTTAATATATTCTTGAGTTACATAAAATACAGATGGGACTAATATATTATTATATGTCTCAAGCTCTGATGATTTAATCTGTTCTAGCCTAGTATCTTAAGGTATATGCTACCACTTATATTCTGCATGCTGTGTCATTGCTTATAAATAAATGCGTAGAAGAAAATAGTTGGAATGTTTTAGAGAGTGGGATTTATATTCACATTAAAAGAAGTCAGATATTCCTGTGGAGAAATTTCTTTACAGTTGCCAGTTGGGGTGTAATAAGTAGGAAGAGAATTTAGCAGCCCACTCATGCCTCTGGGCACACTCATTACTTTGCAGAGTGGGGGAAACAGTATTTTCTAGTATACTAACTAGAGGAAATAATCTGTAAAGCCTTCACAAAGTTGGGCTGGGGAGGTGGCTCAGTGGTAGAGCACCTGCCTTGCATGCTGAGGCCCTGGGTTCGATTCCTCAGCACCACATAAGCAGAAAAAGCCAGAAATAGCACTGTGGCTCAAGTGGTAGAGTGCTAGCCTTGAGCTGAAGAGCTGAGGGACAGTGCCTAGGCCCAGAGTTCAGGCCCCACGACCAGCAAAATAAAATATAAAATAAAAATTTAAAAAGTTATTAATCTTTATAAATAGTAATCAAGGAATGCAGAGGCACGGGTGGGATCTGGGAACTCTATGTGGAACTTTCTGAAGCATGAAGAGTAGTTTTCCTTGAGATACTGTATTTAAAGCAAAAGTAGAAACACTAGTTTTGAGGCAAGGAGCAAAGTTCCATAGAAGGATGTAATTTTTTTAATTGTTTTAATTTACTGATGCTTTCTTGACTGAGAACAGAAGATTGCGGGAGAGCTACTGGAATTCCATTATAGAAATCTTTTCTGGGTCAAATACAAAATTTTAAATTAAATAACATAGTAAAGAAATGGAGATATCAGTGGGTTTCAGACAAGTTTCTGTTGTCCCTTCATGTACAAATATATGGACTTGTTCTGTAATTAGCAGTGATATTGAAAAAAGTTCTAGCCTTTGACATTAATATATAATAATTGTGCTGAGTTGTATTTGTTTTCATTCATCAGAAGATTTCAAATACAGTGCTGTTTTGTAAAGTACTATAAAAACAAACAGCTAAAATACCCATTTAAATAATTGCCAGATTTTAGAAAAATCTTGCTATTTTAATCAATTAAAAGGTATCAAGTTGTACATATAATTGTACATATGTACATATAATTTATTTCAGTTCTTTTCTAATGTGGTTTAAGGTAGGTGTATGAATTATGTTGTTATAGATGACTTATTTAAAGATAATAAAAACACAAATAGCAGAAGGATTCAATGGTACATGGGCTTTGTGAGAGATATTTCCATGACAGACATATGATTCAGTTTAGTTGTTAGACAATTAACTGACATATACTATGCTTTTTGGATTTTATTTATCAAGAAAAATGCCAATTCTAAAAAAAATTAAGAAATTTTTCAATCACTTTGATAAAGGTTAACCATGTTCATTTGAGCAAATCTCTATAATCTCTTAGAAGTCCATGTTCTCATAGTCTTTGAATGGAAGCCATTGCTTTACAATTAAGAAACATCTATGGTGGGACCCCATTATAACCCTGCTGCTGGAGTTATGTAACTGAAATACAATGAATTTACTATGTGTGGTTGCAGTGTTCTGGGGAGTGAAAATTGGCTTGCATTGTGTCCTGATACCTTTCATTTATAGACTATTGTAATGGGGTTCCATTGTATTTGACTTTTCTTAAATTGAATGTTGTGTAATTCTGCCTTCGTCATGAGGACTTTCATGTTTTCTTCATTCTTTCATTTCAGATTTTGTTTCTTGGTTTATTTTATTTAATGCACAATAATAATGCCTAGAAATTTTGCCTGATTTCAAAGTATTCACCTGCTTACATTTTTGAGCAATGTATTTATCTTCTCAATTTTAGGTCAAATGGGCTCTCTCATTCCTGGAGTGAAAGGATACCAGATACAAAACATATTTCAGACATTTGTGAAAATGGGCGACCTCGAAGTAACTCCTGGCAAGGTATAGAGCAATGTTCTGAATCCACCTGTCCACATAATCCAGGTTCTGTTGTATTTTTTCCTGTTTGCAAATCTTTTCACTCTTCTCCCAAAAAAGAAGAGAATATTTAGAATGGCAATCTGATTTAGTTTGGTTTGGTTTCTGGGGTAGGAAATGATGGGATTTGTATCAACCAAATAAAGAAAAACTGTAAGAGGAATGTATAGAACTTGTTTGAAATACCATGTAATTGTTTAACATGGAAATTGATGAACAGTTATTGATTAACATGGAAATTTAGCTACAAATCTTCTTTTTCAGGCAACGTGGGCGGTAACAGAAAGAAAATCAGAGGCAAACGATTTAGACCTCGATCTAACTCAACTGAGTAAGTCTGAAACAATAATGGAGAAGCCATACTTGTTCAAGGTCCTGTGCATTAGTGTCCAGTATTAATTAAGAAGATAGCCAAAGAATGGTCAACCATGCCTCTGGTTTTGGTTGTGTCTTTTTAATTCTTTCCTTTTTTGCCCTTTAAAAATTAACCATGGCTTTTCTCTTTTACATAGGCATCTTCGCAACTGTGCCCCTACCCATATGCACTGACAGTGGGGTCTCACCCTTGCTGCAGGCTTTTTCCTCCAGTCACCTACCATTATGGTGTCTTGGTTCCCTTTGAAGGGAATTTTGATAACATTCCTTTCTTTTCATCATCTGGGTTACAACCATTTCAAAAGGTCATCCTTCCTCTCCCCAATACCCACACAGCCTGGAAGCATCCGGGGAAAATTCTCACCCTACTGGGGAGCATGACAGTGCTCACGATCTGACACCACCGCTCAGAGATCTTCATGGCTGCAATCTAAGCATTCTCTCAGACTAATGGCATAGATTTCCCTTTTAAAGTTTCCTTCTGAGGATATTTAAAAGGGTAGTCTCCTAAACTTGCTCTTTAATGGAATCATTGTCACTGAATGCAACAGTACCCATTTTAGATGATAACCTTTAAAAAAAAAAGTAGAGGGATCAGAAGTTACATCTAAAGTCTTCTATAATGAAGTAAACATCATGCACCTTTTTTTGTTTCTTTCCCCACTTAAGAAAGTGCAAGCAAAATAAACCCCTTCCGTGTTATCCCCCATTATGGAATAAAATACTCCCCAAATATCCTTTCAGACTGACCTTGCTAAACTGGTTTTCACTAAAGTACTTTTTTTTAGGGCATCTAAGAATTTCCACTTATATTTCATTGCAGTGGTAGTTATTGTTCACTGGATCTCTATTGGTTCTTCATGCCTTAATACTTATAAAAATCTGAATAGTAGGTATTTTTTAACTGCTTGATAGAAACTTATGTTAGCTTTTCCATCATATGCCCTGCCTTTTTCAGTCTAGGAGTAATAACATTGCCCTGAAATTTGGACCTTCCACCTGAATGGTATTGTCTTGTAAGTGGCTGATCAACATTTACTAGAGGATATTTTGCCTTAGAACAATAGAAGATTTCAAGTGATACCATTGCATGGTCCAGAATGGCATCATAGAACTCCATCATAAAATAACTAATCTGTTAGAGTTTATCTTATGCATTCCCAAAGTGCTTGGATGCTTTAGGGTTCATTGCTGATAAACTCTTGGAATGTTATTTGATTTCTTTTGCATGGGATCACCTGGTAAGAGCTCCTTAGCTTATCTCAGTTGCACATAAGATTACAGATAAAACTACAAAATGTTCTACAGATCTTCTTTTGTGTACTATTTAGTGTTCTAACAGTATTTCCTATAGTATGTCTTAGATAACTCCTACATGAAAAAATGAAATGTCGAAAAGTATGTTAATGCTTATGAGCTTAGCGCCCAAAGAACATTTGGTGTTTATGAATATTTATACAGTGTTTTATAGAGAATCACTGACTTTAAAAAAACATTTGTGTAGGCTGGGAAGGTGGCTTAGTGGTAGAGCACTTGCCTTGTGTTCATGAGGCCCTGGGTTCGATTCCTCAGCACCACATAAGTAAAAAAAAAAAGCCAGAAGTGGTGCCGTGGCTCAAGTGGTAGAGTGCTAGCCTTGAGCTGAAGAGCTGAGGGACAGCGCCTAGGCCCAGAGTTCAGGCCCCACAACTGGACCCCCCAAAAAAAACATTTGTGTAAAATTTCCACTTAAATCATGTATAATAATTATTATACTATGGATAACCATTGAGATATCTTGCCAATATGATGAAGTTGTAATATTTCATATGACATCTAAATAGAATCATCTTAGAGAGAAATGTATTAAGGATGCCCTCAGAATTTTCAGACTTCTGATTTTGGTTACATGCTTCATATGAATTAAATGGCCATGAGTATTAAATGGCCACTCTTCTTATAAACCTTCTTATCTAGAAACTGTCTCTCTATACATTTATATACTGCTTAAACATAAAGATTCCAAATACACAACATATCAAGAATTATGTTGGCCATTTTCTTATACTTGCAATATTTATGCAATATTGTTTACTTCTGATAGGATAGTATAATTTCTCTTAGTATAAAAGGAGTTGAGTGACCACAGGAAACATCTGCTTCATTTTTTCTTACAGTGAGAGCTATTTTCTACTCTTGCAGCTTTCCCTTTAGTAACCCATCATCTCAAAGGATGATGAAAAATTGAGACAGGAATGAAAACATGCCCCACAAATGCATGCTAAGCTAATGAACAAAATAGAATGTCCTTGTTTGTTGTATTGTTTTCACACTCAGAGCTTTTGCATCTTCCTCACTGTTGTTCATGATGTAAAAACCTTTTGGGCTTAGACTTTGTATTATATATTGTGTTTTTACAGGAGGGAGCCCCAAGCACCTGAGCCTGGGCACTCCCTCGCCCAGACAGTCCCATCCCAAGGCATAAGCCCAGGGGGCTCTGACAGCCCCCAGACAGGGAGTCTGGATCACAGGTCAGTCTCCACCTGCCCCTTCATTCTGGGCTGCCACTGAATCTCCCTCCTCAAGTCCCTTCCTTGGCTGAGAAAAGAGTCATTTGATCTTTGACCGAGCCCCACGTCTGCTCGGAGGTGCTCTGGTCCAGCCAGTACCAGCTAATTTTGCTCTGCCTTTCCATCCTGGAGAACATTAATGAGCTCTCCTAACCTGTCTGACGCACTTTTTTTGCATGTTGCGCTATAAGCCAAGTCAACCCACTTAGTCAGGTTTTACTACAGTTTGATACAATCCCATCACCACAGCCACCATGCCCTAGAGATGTAAGGAGGCCCACTGTGAAGATCCCCCAAAGGAAGAAAACCTTAAGAATCCTTTTCAGTGGTTCTGATGAAGTTATCATCAGAAATGTTCCCTGGAATGAAGGAAGAGATCTGCCAAGTAGAAATCAAACCATGTGGTTATAACTTTCATGGAACAGACACGGCCCCAGTCCTTTGAGTCTCTAAGATTGTCAGTGAAAGGAACAAATACCTCCTCCAGGAAGTGGCTGGCTGCCTGTAGGTGACTGTTTGCTGTGTGGCTCTGTTTTACCTGATGACAGCTGCATGGGCTTATCCTACAGTTTTCCCCAGGCCAGGGCACTCATGAACGAGCCTTCATCAGTGGCTGCACTTGCTTTTTACTTTTTTTCTTTTTGTTCAAAGGCTCAGTGGAAATGTGTATGCAAGTTTTAATTGGCTCTATGAAAAGTGCAAGTTGGCATTGATTGTGGCTAAAGGTAAAACGTATGTGATTTGTTCCTGAGTCAGGAGACATCATTTTAGCAAAAATGGTCTTATGAACATTAAAAAAAATAACCCTTCTTTCAAGGGCAAATCGTGATGTTATTTTGTAGAGTACCTTGGTTATGGCTAAAAATGAAGGAAAAAGCTATGTTGGGTGGGTTTTAGCCTGGTTTTCTAAAACAACTGTGGACATGTAGTTTGGACTTCAATTTTTTTTTTACAAACAACAACAAAAATCTCTTAAGAGTAAATATGAAGGAAAGGAGCAATTTTTAAAAAATAAGTGACACACTTTATAATTCCCCCGGGTTTCTTTCCAAATAAGTCATAAAAAGCTTGGACCTTCATTATTCTGGGAATCTCCAAATTCTTCCAATGTTGAATTTGTTTAAAAGTTATATTATTTTGAAAGGGCACATTAAAGGGATGCTGTTATGTTCGTCTCCAAGAGGAAAAACAAACACCTCTGAAAGAAAACAATGCACCTCAGATTTTATTATCTTTAAATTTTGCGCAGCAATCCCGAGGGAGACAGTGGCAGGTCTGTCAGGGAAATGTTAATGAAGGTCATTGTTAGTCTCTGGAAGAATTTTTTGTCCAATTCATTAGATACTTAGGAGGCCTCTTCTTCTGAGGGCCTTTTACTGATGGAACCCTGAACACTTTAGCCTGGAGAGCAAGAGGAGGAAGGAACTTTCCAGCTGCGATTAAGTTACTAACCCAGCATCCCAATCATGGAGGCCTCTTGGGAACACAATGTGTTTGGGGGCCTCATTCTCGGAAGTGTGGGGCCGTTTAAGTTCTTACCCCAGAGCCTCCTGAAGAGTACTTTCAGATGACTCCAGCTTTGTATCTGTTTCAGGGAATAAGGGAGTGTCATGCAAAAGCTTTCTCATATGGAAAAGAACTTTGCTCCTTTAAATTGTCCCTTGGGGTTTATATGCTGAAATGCCAGGTGGGAATTGCAGCTACCTGGATATTTTCACAAAGCACCATTATCCTTTGAAACCAAGTAGCCAAATGAGAGGTGGCCTGGAAAAAGCCACTTTGGAGGTGGGTGAATGGGACGGCTGACAGCACTATGATTGAAGAGAGTTTTCCACTCACTATGTGAAGCCGCTGGAAAAGGCTTCCTCAGAAATGTGGAATACATTGAGAATGCCTTGGGCCTTGATATAGCAGAGATTATTCTCATGCCATTGTACAGACTGCTTCATAATCAGCCAACATCCATCCTGGTTTATTTGCCATAGCCACTTGCATTTGGAGGGTGAAGACATCCTTGCTAAGCTTGTGCTGTGTATTTTTCAGATTTTTCTATCTTGTTCTGCTTTCTTTGTTCCTTCCATTGCTTTCTGCAGGTATTTAAACCCATGGTTCAAAAGAGACTATAATGTAGCTAAGTGGGTAGAAGATGTGAATAAAAACACTGAAGGACCATACTTTAGGTATTTTATTAATTAATTTTATATCCTTTTCAAACTCTCCCAGCACATATAAACACTGTAGTGTGACTGGCTCTCTATCTTGTATCTCCTAATACAAGTTCCCGTAGGTGAAAAGGGGTCCCTGTTTATTTGCTGCCTTTGATCTGTTTTGGCTTCCTGAGCAAATCTGATTCTTTTCTGAATGTTTCAAATGAAGCCATTTGAAAGGGTTGCGGGTTCAATGCATGTCCCTGTCACCATGTTGAGCTTCTTAGTAGCTTTCTCTTCATTTATGCTGTGTAGTAGTGTTCTATGGGCATGAAACATACTTTCCACTAATAAAGAAACACTATTAACCTCAGCAATCTAATTACTGGTTTCATAATGCATTTTTCCTACTTCCTGTTGAAGAGTGCATAGTGCATATGAAAACTCCAGGGAAAACATGAAAGGAAACCAGATGAAATGTACTGGAACTATACTTTCCGTAGAAACATTGATTTGACGTAACTGGGAAATTATTGATATATTAATTAACAATAATTGATTATGCAAGAATGTGGAATGATTTAGGTTTTGTTCATACAACCATTTGCTATCACAAATGAGCTGTGCTGAGGTGATTTACAGATTCTACACAAAGCATGGAAGATTTTTATGTTAATAAAATGCTGTCTAATATGTCAGAATGAGAAGCCGATAGGAACATGCTACTGAGTCACAAAAGAGAAGAACATCTCTACATGTTAGAAACGATCCAATTGACTGTAGCTCCATATAGCATTCACTGTTAGAATTTCCAAGAGCTCTTACTAGTAATTTTTTCATTCTTCATAAAAGTCAAAGTGGTTACCAGTAGTAAATATCCACTTTGTATCTGACTACTTTGTGGACAATTTATTAAAAAAAAATACAGACTCGGTTACTACTTCAGAATATAACCTAACAATGAGCTTTTATCTTACTTTTTGCTACAACTTGGGTCAGCTTGAACAGATATGATTATGCATATTTAACTCTCAGCACCCAAATAAGGTGGACTTTCTCTTCCAGTGTACCATTTAGTTTAGTCATGTATAGTGTGAGAAAATGATTAGACCTATCGGCATTTTAATTTGATCCATAACATTTGCATATACCTCAAGGAAAGCATAACTCCTGCCTGCTCAAAAAATATATATCCTGCTTTATACCCCATCTTTCCCTCCTGCCCTCCTTTGCTTGTCCAAGTTCCCACATGGATCCTCATATGCACACACTCACATTCAAACACCCCACCCTCACCTGTAGCTCCCAAGATGGCCAACGTCAGGAAGCCAGGTAAGATGATTTTGAATGTTATTGGGAATTTTGGATCATCTGCAGTACTATTTTTTTCTTTCTATTTACTCAGGCTTGTGGGCAGATTATAGTTTGTACCAGCCATGGAACCAAAACCAGAATAATTTTGGTCCTATATGGGTTAGGACTTTTATTCCTAAATGTACTTAGCATATTTTTTACAGCAATAATTGATTAAATGGTACCCCGGAAGAGTTGATTCACCTCCCCTGGGTGAGCTGAGTAGTTTGTGTGGCTCCTCAAGAAGAGCTCACATTTGTTAACATTAGCACCCAGGTCTGCCCAGAAGCTGCATGACTATAAACGCAATTTGGATGGGGAAATGCTTTAGCACCCCTGGTTGCACGTTGCACAGCCACGAGGGCAACTTTAGAGGGGTTAGTTATTGCCTTCTCTAATATGAGATGTTAGTTCTGACTGGAGATAGTCCACGTTTTTTAAAATTAAAGTCTAAAGTTCGGTGGACAGTTAATATTTTACTGTCATCTTTCAAATTAATAAAGATTATGCTGATAAATCTTGTGAAATCGACACAGACTTTTCATGGCAGTGGTCAATAATTGAGATGACCCAGAGCTTTTATGATCCTGACATGACAGAGAATTTCATCCACTTGCTATCCAAGTCAAGCTTCACAGAGACCTAGAATGCAACCACCCTTTGACTTAGTCTTTCCAACCCTATGCATAAGCTCAGATGTGCTTCATATGCTGCCAGGTCATTAGAATGACCTCGCCTGCCAAAGTCACCAACCACTAAAATCACCTTAGTCACACAGGTTAGATTTGTGGCATTCTTACCATAATCCCATGGCGAATTTGTGACTGTCGTAAATTGGTCTGTAAAACAGCTTAGCATTATGAAACATAATGTTCCTAAGATACAACTAAGAACAAGGCCTACAGGTTTGATTATCAGTGCCTTTGGCTCCCCTTCTTTACCTAGTTTAGATGTGACAGTGGCTGTGCAAGTTACCCTCAACATGTTCCCAGGCTCCAAGGAAAGAGTATTATCAGGCAAGAGCATTGTTTCACCATCGCCGAAGTCCTCAGAGCAGTTCAGTTGGTGGTAGGGCTACTCAAGCTCTCCCAAGGAATTGGTAATACTGAGTATTTCCCAATCCTCTTCACTTGCTTAGTGCTCTCTGAGTCCATTTCTATGATCTTACAGAAAATACATTTATTCTGAAATAAATTCCTAACAGGAACTATCATGCAATGTGTCCACTGGATACTGTTCTTTTACATCATAAGATGAAAGCATCCTTATTCAATTTATGTGGATAGAAGAAATAGAGGCACACAGCTAATATAGTATAGCTAATAAGTGTAAGAAAGAGAATTAGAACCTGGACCTTGCTGGATAAGTCTTCCTATAAAATTCACTTATGACCACAAGTGAATGAGGAGTGGACTTGTGTCCCTCTCAGGGAACTGGCCTGGTGTTAGTTGTCCTGAGTGGCAGAACTAAGTTGACCTTACAAAAAAATGTGTGATGTACTCAAAGTGTGCCACCATCCTTTGGCACACAAACACTTTTATTGTGTGATTGTGCTGTTTTGTACCCTCTACAGTTATTATAGTTTTTAATGCAGTAATGACAATGGCTAACATTTATCCAAAGATCACTTTGCTTTGTAAGTGGATGAGCTGAGCTGAGGCCATTTTTAAATAAAAGCTGGACTGGAACCGAATGTCTTTCTTAGACATTTGTGACAAATCTCAACTCATTTACCCTGTCTTGTTCTCTATTCTTATTTGACTCCTGCTCTGGTCTTCTCTAGACTTTTGTAAGGATCTCTTTGTCCCCCTTTCCAACAAAATGTTCTGCTTGGCTTCTCTTCTCACCTCAAGATCTAAAGTGTGATTAATTAATGTGTTAATGTGAGAAGCAGTGTGGTATGATTTATTTGGGATTTTGAAGGATACTGCTAATTGTTTCCACCCATTGTTGGTTTTCCCCAAAGAAAAATACTTGAGGAGAAGAAGGGACTTCCAGTATCCTTCATTGGAATATTTTGTGTATATAAATTTCCAGTCATCTGAACTGATGCCCAACTTAAGAACTCTAGAGGTTTTGAATTACTAATATTCTTTGAGATGTCCATCCACACAGCAATGGAACTCCTAGGCATGAGAGCTGTCTGACAGCTCTAGCTGTTTGTGCTAGCACTTTGTTCTAGGGAGTGGTTCTAGCCACTTTTCAGAAATAGAAGTGCTAAGAGTTACGTCCTAAAAGCAAATAGAACCACTTTGCTGCCTAATATCAGTTTAGGAATGTTCTCTTGGATCTCAAAATTGTGAGGAAACTCACAATTTTAAACTTAAGCTTGATTTTCAAACTCAAGCTTGAATCAGTGTCTGTAAAATGGACATGAGTTTGAAAACAGTGATAGAAGCAGAGCCAAGGGCATTATAGGGAGGAGGACCCAGTGCAGCAGAGGCAGAGACACCTAACCCTATCTGATGCTACTCCACCACCTGCACTCCCAGACTGAACCGGTCACAGCAGATGAGGTGCATTCAACTGCAATACACGTGTATCATAGCATGTGTGACAGCATAACCAGTTCAGTAATGTGGGTCATGACAGAATTCAGGAGTCATGGATGTCTAGTGGTGGCATTTGTGAAGGGAACAGATAACCACCACACTTATCATGTTGCTTTCCCATGGATTTAAGTAGATATCCCCCCCCCCACCTCTTCAAAACAAGTTAGCAGCAGGATTGGGTTCTTCTAACATGCCCAGCATAATCATGAATATTACCACTGCACGCAAAGAACCAAAGCAGCTCAATATAATACACCATTGCTTCCCCAGCAATGCTGATAGTAGGGATGAATCAGACCATTTTTGTATGTTCTCATCAGACTTTGTTTGGCTGGAACTCTGCACTCCTTACTGCTTGCATGTTTACTAATTTATTATCAAAACCTCTGTATTTGCCTTTGTTCCTTCACAACTAACACACTGGCCTCTGAATGCATGAGTTTTATGTAAATTAGTGTCTGTAGCAACTAATATATATATATATATATCAGTGGTAATGTACTTTAAGATCTTAAGTATAATAATTGTGCTTAGAAACATTTTTATCAAGTGGTAAAAGTATGGCAGACTATTAATATAATGTGTACTTTATCATTATGAGCTCTTAGAATAATTTTATCCCTTATTCATATTAGCTTGTCATCTATTCAGTAGGGAAATTCATTATTGTCTTTCTAGTTGAAAAGTATGGTTCTCTGTTCTAGCACTTAGGAAGTCTACGCAGTCACAGAATTAGGATGCTAAAACTCAGCAGTGCAGTTCTAGTAATGACAGAGCAATCTTCCTAGTAGCTAAAACTTTCTACTAGATGCTTATCAAAGTAGAAGTCAGAAGGTTTGTTCTGAACAAACATTTCAGATATTTGAATCTGAAATTAGGCAATCACATGATACTTATTTTGTATGTTCTCAACATCTCAGGACTTTATCTCCTGCCAAATCTCCTTCTTCATCAACTGGGTCTATTGCCTCCAGCAGAAAATACCCTTACCCAATGCCTCCACTTCCCGATGAGGAGAAGAAAGTGAACCGACAAAGTGCCAGGGTATGTGATAGCTTCTTCCATCTGCTTACACACGTGGCTATTACCATTTATCTCTGAGTTCACATTCTAAAAGAAAATCTTTTTTTTACCTTCTTTATTCATAAGAAAGTGAGAAAAATTAAATTGGAAAATTAGAAGATCCTTGGGTTTTCCAGTTCAGGTTTACACCTACCAATCAATTTGTATTGATAGATTCTAGAGATCTTTGGTATATACCAACGTCATTACTATATATGTATATCTTTCATTACTCATTGTAGTCAAATACATTAAGATCTGGAATTGATAAACATCAAGGATATCTTTTACTTTACCAGTTTTCTAATTCCAGAGCAAAGTAATTTAGCCTCCTTTCCATGCCTGGATTGTGAGCTCAACGTAGGCATTTCACCAGCTAATAACTCAATATCATTTTAGAAATAGGAACTGGTGTCAGAAAATCAGTTCAATGCCTTGACAGAATTGAGAAATGGAAACAAGGAAAAAGGAGATAAGAAAAAATGTAATTTAAAAAATTAAATTACAAATTATATGAGAAAATAGCAGTTTTTGTGTTTAAAAACTTCCTTCCTTTTTCCTCCCTCCCTCTCTACCTTCCTTCCTTCCTTCCTTCCTTTTTTCCTTCTTTTATTTCATTCTCTCATTTCCCTTCCCTGCTCTTCCCTCCCCTCCTGTCCCCTCCTCTTCTTTTCTCTTCTCTTTTTCATGAGAAAAAGAGCTAACAGTTGAAACGTTTATTTTATCCATTTATTGACTTTGCTAGGTTGTGCAGCTATAATCACATATGTGTCAATGGAGTTACCAACTCATTCATCTTCATAATGCTGGCTTCTTTGTGTTTTCCCAATGTTCAATTTTGCTTTCCTCTATTGTGCAGCTATGGGAGACATCCATTTAAGATCAACTGTTTACATGAGACACATCAAAACTGTTTACTTCAACTTTTGTAGAAATCCAGCCTCCCACAATCACTGCAAATCTGTCTGCTCTTCAGTCATCACAAGACCCTCTGAGATGCCTAGAGGAGAGAAAGCCACATCTCACACACGGATACCATTTTCTTTTTGTCATTGGCTTAAGATTCAACAAAACCATGAAAAGAACACTGAAATGTCACACTAAAACACAGAACAATAAAGGTACTGGTATGCTAATGGAAAAACCTGCATGACAGATATATGTAGAAATATCAATAAACTCACATGACCCAAAATGTAGCAAGTTTCCCAAGGGACAGTAGTGGATTCAGAACCTGACATTCTGAAGCCCATGCTCATTGTAAACAGTAATGCTGTATGCATGAACCCTCTGTTTATTGTTCTCCATATTTAAGGAAACAACATCCCATAATAGAAACTAGCATGCAGGGTTAAGGCATATAGAATTATTCTGCAGGACTTCAAAGCTTTGAGAGGCCAATATCCCATGCTAACTTTAAACATGTATTTTTATTTCACTTTTTTTTTTACTTTTCATACTTATATCAACATACAAGGACAATTGTACATATGTAAACATTTTTAAAATTTTAAAAAAGCAGCTGTTACACACAAGTGTATTTTGCCAAATGCCTGAAAGCAGTGAATCACAGTCACATCAATGTCCTCCATCAATGGTCTTCAAAGAGTATAAGCAAATGGTGTTGTAAATATAGTGGTCAATGCTGTAAATGTGTCTTTCCATAACTGATATATGTCTAAAATGTGATAGCCCTTTAAAATGTGTACCGTCTGGAGGCAATTTCATCGAGTGATTGAGTAGGAGAAGGAAATGTCCAGCAAAACTTCTTCCCTGCATAGCTTCTGGAGTGTAATACAGCTGTCAGACTACCTGAAACAGCCTTTCACTGATGGATTCTTTAGGAATCAGCCAGTGTGTCCACCTCTCACCCAAGGGCACATAGTGCCTGCTACAGTGACTGTTTGGTACCAGAGTGCATCAGCTAGTCTCACTGGGAGGCCTCCATAGTGTGTCCTGTCGAGACAGAGCCAGATGCACCAGGCAGAGACCACAAGCTGCCTTTGAATTGGTAGCTTGCATCTTGCCAATACTCCCATCTTTTGAGACCAGAAGTTTTTATTCCTGGACAGATTTTTTCAGCCACCCCTTTTTGTCAAAGGAATGGCTTGTTTTAACAAAAACACCTTTCACACTGCTTATTAAGGTATTTGTCACTACTGGGATATGAATTCTAGCCTTGACTTTGAAGTGAGATGATGAGTAGTTCTCCTATTTGAGCTGGAAAGCCTCAACAAAATCTAAAGCCATAAGGATGCAGTAATGGTGAAGTTACGCACACCAGGAAGTGAAAAGAATACATTTAAACCCCTTCTTTAGAACAAGTGCTTAATAGTTGTAATACAGCTCTAGTGAGTTCTGAATTTGATCAGCCACATGGTCTACTGCAATGTGTACTTCTGAGTTCACCCCCCCCCCACAAAAACCCTGTATTTTTCCTGAGAGGAATGGATTCAGCAGACAAGATTTCAGAAATGTCGTCTAAATTTGAGTTCTTCCTGTAATGTCCATGGGAAAGTCTACTTCATCTTCATGTATAATGATCCTTTGAGGCCCACTTTGAAGGACCAGTTTCAAGGCAATGTTTTCCGCTTTGTGGACCTCTCTTCTGAATGCTTGAAAGGCAATTTAACTATCTAAAATCATACGGCATAAACAGTATTTTTGACAGGAAAAGGATGATAAGAAATGATGTGGCTGTAGATACCTCAATAAAACTATCCGTCAGACCAAGGTTTAGGTGACTGTTGGCCAGTGGTGTGTGTAAGCTCAGGCCAAGTACAGAAGGAGAGACAGATGAAGAGGTGAAGCACGGAAAGGAACTTTTGACAAAAGACCACTTTCAATGAGCACTAAATGTTTTCTGGCATTGAGTGTATAAAAAGCTATGTTATAGGGTTTATTTTGACTATAAAAGAGATTTGAATATAGATTTGAATATTTGAATATAGATTTGAATGTAAGGTGCCTCATGTAAATATGCTTCATAGTTACAGTTATACAAGCACTAATTTGCAAGAATACACAAATGGCTTAATTGACTGATTATTTAATCTACCCATCAATGCATCCATCTATTCATTCTTAACATCTCAATTTTTAACTGAAATTATTTCAAATGGAAAATCATTATCATGTGCCTTTTGGGAGATAAGGTCACCATAGTGCTGTACAGTTTGTAATAATCCTCCTTCCTAATAATCTTCATAAGAACAGAAATAAAAGAGGTTTTATTTAATTTGCAGAGATCAGGATTTTAGGAATATAATAGCTTTAATGTTCTATTACAAGTACATACTCTATTTCCTATGTTTAAACATTCTTGGAACTATTTTGGGACTTCTTTGACAAGTTTTTGTCTTGATGAATAGTTTTAAGAAGTATCTATGTGTGTATTTATGATTGGCATACTTGAGTATTACATCTATATTTGCTTTTAATCACTGAGGTAGATAGAATGGACCCTTGGCACCAAATAAAAGCACAGCGATTAATTCTTACATATCTATTTCGAAGAGAATCTTTGGGGACACATAGTATGTATCATGTAACTAATATTTATATTCCCCTGTCCACTATGGATAGCCAATTAGCAGAGAAGAGCAGTTATTCGCCCTTTATGTTCCATTGTATGCCTTTCCCCCATGTTTTCTTTTTTCTTAAGTTATGGAGATAGAGAAGAGCTCAGATAGACAACTCTTCTGCTGAAAGTGTTCCATTTACCAATGTCAGTAGAGTCGGAACTGCACGAAGGAACATTTCTGTCTCTAACAAAATGTTACCTGGGGAGCTGTGGGATATCAGGGGACCTTAAGGAATGGGATAGCCAGACACTGTTCTCTGTACCCAGCCACTTTTCTTTAGATGGGAAGTAAAGTCAGCTAGCTAAAAAATGGTCCTACCCATAGGCAGTTTGTGGATGGGAGTAAATGAATACTTCTTCAAACAGCTCAGCACAGTGAGGTTTCTAAATTAGCTGCAGCTGCTATATTAGTAAAGAAACTTAGCACCTCTATTAGGAATAACCTAAAGAAAATATTGTTCCCTAAAGAAAATATTGACAGTACATACAGCAAAAGTAGGGTTAAAATGGCATACTTCTCAGTTTAAAGTTGGTGCTTTACTAAGAATCACTGCAGTTTCTCTTTCCCTTTTGCTTTTTAAGGTTTTTAAAATTGTGCTTGTAAATGTGGTCAGTCCAGCATAGGATTCTGGATGTATGTTTAATCAGGTTTCTAATAGAAGCTGCTTTGAAGATAAAATTAATATCCTTTGTACTTCTAGAGAAAGACTGTCTGAATTCCAGGCCAGTCTGACATTCTACATTCTTGTCTATTGATCCTATTGCCTATTTGCATAATTCCATCCTGTCCATAGTCCTAGATCTTGTGACTCCTTTGTTACCCCTTAAGCAAACTTTGTTCTTGTGAGTCATCTTTGAAGCAGAGGAGATATGTGATTTCCACTCACTTCTTTGAGTCTTTCAAAATTGTTTGTTCAGTTACTTGTTTTACCCTTCCATTTCCTTTTGTCATGTAGTTCTAACGTAGCCTCACATACACACAACATTGTAAATATTTTCTTATGTTATTCAACATAATAAGTTCTTATCTTGCTCAAAGGAAAGATATTCGGTACTTCACAAAAATAAAGTTTGGAATTAAGAGAACTAAAGAGAAAGAAGCAGCTGCCCACACAGCCTGCTTGGGATGCTGTTACAGGCTGCCACTCATGCCCAGCAAGGGCCTATGTAAATAGCATGCTACTACTTGGTGAGTTGGCATGGATATCCCACAACTCCCATTTCCAGCATATCTTCTACTTTTTATGCTCCTAATTATATACTTCCCCTTTGCTTTAGCCTTCTTCTAGAAGTTTTACCAAAATTCTTTTCCCCCATAAATGTAAGCCCTCAAAATGAATGTCATGTTCTTGCTCTATAGGATACTATTGATTAAAAAGCTGACATTTCCATGAAATGAGGCTTAAAATAGGGTTCAAATATTTATTCCCCTCATCTGAGCTATTTACTTTTAAGTGATTCAGACTAGAAGACTACTCTGATTTTGGATACGCATCTTGTCACCTGGCAACAGAGAACTAGGGATTTTGATGAACAACTCCCCCTATATGCTGTACTGAGGCACCCAGTCTACCATTTTGAAAATGACTGTGGCAACCTTTTCTGCCTCCCACAGTTCTGGTTGTATGAGCAGCCTGCTGCTCAGGTGGGTCTGGTAGGAAGTGTTGGCACATGCTTCTACCATATGCTTTGGGGGCACTTTCAGTTCCAAGACTATTCCTACCACACCTGCAGATGCAGAGCAAACACACACTCTCTTCCTTTTTGATTCATTGTTTTGTCAGTTCCCAACATGGAGCATCTTCATTTTGTAAGCAGAAAAGCAAAATAAACCACCAAAACCAAAAAAAAATGGTTGCATAATTAGTTATGCCTTTTATATCATGTTAATTCTATAAATGCTTCACGGTTGAGTGGTTATGTCCCTGTTGTGTTGTTCATGGATCCTGCGACATGCTGGGAAAATGCTTCAGTGGTGGCAGGACTTCGGTGAGGGGCATTGTCATTTTGTGTCCCTAAGTATCCTTGGAATAAATCCAGAAAAATTTTGTTTTATTGTTTTATTTTACAAAGAAGTCAAAGAATGAGACTAATCAATTTTGTTAAGATTATGTATATACAAAACCATCATAGCTTTAGAGTTTATGAAGGTTAGTTTTCCTCATATAGTCACACATACATCTTTACGCATATACATATGGATATATGTGTATAGGTAGATATATGCATATGTATATATGGGTATAAATATGCATGTGTGTTTATATATGGATATACTTTAGGGCCTAGGCTTTGCTTTAGTGAGTTTCAGATGGTGATTTGTGTTTTTGATGGTTAAACTCTAATATACTTCAAATAGCCCAAATCTTGAAATATAGCGGTGCTAAATTTTATCAGATAACACAATACAGAAAGTGCTGAACTATTACATTTAGTAATAACACCAGAGTTCCTGCTACATGATACATGTATATCACTGCCTGATTAGAAACCCCTCTTTTCTTTTATAATCCAGCACAAAATCAAACTGTGATTCTGCAACCAGTCTTTTTAATGGGAAAAACAAATTGACACAATACTTTTGTTTTGTATGGGAAAATTTTTTTTTACACGAACTGCAAAAGTGCTTAGCAAAAGGCTCAAAAGGTACTAAGCATGCACTTTTTTTTTAACTTGTTGGAAAATTTGCCCCTTTAAAATAGCATCTCCAAGAGACAACTTTCAGAAAATGGGGATTCTACCACATCGAAGCAATTTTTGTTAGCCAGTGTAGGTCTGTCCTAGTGTTTCCCTCATCCATCCTTTCAAAGGATGATTTCCATCTGCAGCTGATATGAGTTTCCCCAGATGAAGTGTTAATAGCAGCATAGTTTCACTTTGGCAACCAGGTATTCATGTGTATATAGATTCACACCATTTTAACATTCTGCTTCTCTGCATTTCAGATTCTTATGCTACTTTAAATATTACTGGGTTTTGGCAAACATCAATGGATATGTATATGGTGACTGCTTTCCTGAGCAAGCGTGATTTGTTTTATGGCTGTTCAAGCTGTAAAGTTGTTCTCATATTGTAGGTACACAAAATTTTGTTTTTAAAGGTCACTGTAACTTACGGATCAAATTTCTGGCACAATTTTATTAGTGTTCACTTCTGAAGCTAATAAGATCCAGTTTTCTATGTTACTCTCATTGTAACATCAATAAAGTGACTTTCAATAAAAGATTCATGTTATTTTGATGCATGACTCCCTTTAATTTTTGTTTTTTTAGCCTCCTGACCAATTTCTTTTTCAGAAGCTGTGTAGGTACTATTACAGAGTTGTTTCTTTTCTGTTCCACACTGTGCCAGATAAGACCACGACTGTGGATATGTAAAACAAAGCCTGCGTGCTCAATTTCGTGGGTAGTTTCCTCAGCAAGGTGATATGACGTTTCCTCTACTCATTCACCTGCCTTGCCTAAGTTCTTCTCTGTTCGAATGAGGATTTACCTCTTGGATGCTGTCCTGTAGCCCAGGCACTGGAATTTACTAAGCTTACCTGTGTAGCTTTCTAAAGCACCGATTGATTTCAGATGGGTTCAGTTTAAGTTCATAAGTTCATTGCCTAAAAATAATCCAACCTTGGCCTTTTCATCCGAGGCAGCCATTCTAACCAGTCTTTACAGACATTTGATTTCCTCAGTTTCAGTTCATAGTCTGTAGAGGAAAACTGTATCTAAGGTACTGTTACAATATGAGACTAATGAAGAAAGTCATTGACAAAGGGCTTGCACATTTGTTGTAAGGTTTAAAGAAAGCATAGTGCTTATACACAGCTCCACTTCTTACAGTACTTTAGGCATATGATTCATTTAAATGAACATATAACTCACATAAAGGAACTGTAATGTTTTCAGCTGAGGAAGCAAACTCTAGTCAGAGATCGCAGAAAGTTTACTTCATGTGCCATCTCTGGGCCTGATGCTACTACCAGGAATATCCTCTGGAGTTCAGATTCTTAACTTGGCTTCACAAGAGTGAGAACTTTAGTCTGCTGTAGTAAAAAATCTATGCCAGTGTCCCCAGGAAACACCAGGCCTCTGGAAGCCATATTCCTATAAAAGCATGTGAAATGTGCTATAGGTCCTTTACAAATCAATCACTTCAAGTGTAAGAATTAAAGCACACATCTCCAAATGAAGTACAATCCCAAGTGGTTTGGGAATATAACTACTAGTAACTGACATATTCATGTAAAAGCTCACAGCTTCACCATGCCCTAAATATATGCTTTAATAAGGAACAAACCAAGAAGCCGTTTCAAGAAGATGAGGCTGCACTAGAGGTATACAAATAAACATCTTATGTGAAACACACAGAACCAAGGTTAAACACAAATAAGGAATAGAGGTACTTCCTTGTAATCAAGAGTTAGGCTACATCAAATTCAACAAGAAGAAATGGAACCTTCTAACTACAGGAACCTATTCAAGACTGTCTTCTAGGCCATGATTTTAGGAAGAAATGAAAAAAAACAGAGTGGATAGGAGAACTGAAGTATCAACACTTAAAACTCAATTAATTGCATGATATTAAAATATGGTTTAAAATTATGTAGTACTTAACTAAAAGCAAATTCGATTTTTTTTTCTTTTATGACAATGGCTTGTAATATAGCCCAGGCTGGCTTCAAATCTCAATCCTCCTACCCCGGCCCCAACTACTAGCATTATACAGAAATGCACCAATAAACCCATTCCCAAAGCAAATTCAGAACCATGCTGAATATAGCACATATCAGAATTCCAAGTGATAAGGTGGTTTAGCTACATAGCCTTGTGCATTGCCATTTACAACTCTCTAGGAAAGAACCTTCTCTCTCTATTAAACTATGATACTACAGAGAATCCTAATGAGTGCAAACCAAACAGCAGATAGAAAGAACTCCTGTTTCCCGGTCCTCTGAACACCCCTTGGCTCCTTTTCTGTGCAGTCCAGGACCAAACACAAATCTGTGGCTACACAGAGAATATATCTGGGATGAAACCAGCCTTGCCAAGTAAGACACAGTAGGACCTGGAAGCTGGGTATCACTACTTGGCATAAATACATAATTTTATGTTAGGATTGAATAAATATGAAATGAATATATAAATTACAATACTGTTTGAAAATATAGTAGGGAAATGAAATTAAAAGTGTTAAGGAAAATTTTCTTTTCATTAACAACTAATTATTCACTTGAATCTATTACACTGTGCCCTAATATAAGATAGACACACTGCTGGCAAGGAGAAAAAAATCAATGAATGTCATTTTTTCAATCTTTTAAACTCTCTTGTAACAAAAACAAACAAACAAACAAACAAGGCAGCTTTAGACGTAAGGAACAGAAATGTTGTTGGTGCCTATTATACTAATACAGATATTTAGAACCATCCCAATCGGTAGCTTCCAAGTTTGCTTCTTTTCAGAGATGGGTGAACTGAATTTTGTGGGGTTTTTTTTATAACTTTATTTTATTTTATTGAAAGGGTGATTTAAAAAAAACAAACTTTGTAAAATAACCATTCACACAGTAAAGAAGCACAGCCAGCATAGAATCTGCATCTTGACATCCTTTGGTTTAATTTTTGTTTAATTCTACTTATTAGAGACTATTTGGAAAAACAATAGAAAGGAAGAAAATGGACCAATGTCCCCAATTCTCGGGGATCGCAAAATCCACATTTGGGACATGTATTCCAGTCCTTCTGCTGCACTTAAAAGCATGAACATGTTCATCCATTTCAAAATGGATGCATTAGTATTTTTAAATGACACACATCTTCTGACTTTAAAATGGAAGCATACATAGTATAGAAATTAGTGTACATGAAATCTTGCTAGTCAAAAATAACCAGTTAAGAATGGACACTTCCATGTTATGCCTGTAATCCTAGCTACTCAGGAGGCTGATATGGGAGGATTGTGGCTCCACACCAATGGGGCAGGAAAGTCCATGAGACTCTTATTTCCACTTAACCAGCAAAAATGGGAAGAGGAGCTGGGGCTCAAGTGGTAGAGTGCCAGCTTGGAACAAAAGTAAAGCTTAGGTACAGTGCCCAGGTCCTGACTTCAGGCCTCAGAACCAACACAGACACACATTAACAAATAAACAAACAAACAAAAACAAACCAGTTTCCTTATTCTCAGAGCTTCCAACTTGGACAGAAATCTATACCAGTGCTTTTCTGGCTCCCAGGTCTTCCTACTATACCACCAGGGGTTCCTAGGTTTGCAACTGTAGGTGTTGACTCATGAGACTGCTAAGCCTTCATAATTGTGAGGGCTAGTTCCTTATAATAAATCTCTTCATGTGTAAAAGAAACAAAAACAAAACACACACAAAAACCAGTTAATATTTTCAGATGTCCTCTTAGTGTTTTTCTAATCTACAAGACTTGGAAACAAAAGTTTAAATGAATGAGAACAAAGAAGGACTTAGTGATATAATTTGCTATGCTAATTACCAATAGCTTTTGAACAGGTAGAAAATAAATCTGTTTCCACATTCTCTGTTCATTCATAAGGCTATCAAAAGATGCCTTTTTTTTTAACCTCAATTCACTATGTACCCCATACGGATCTTGGAACTCATAACCCTCTTGTCTTATAACCCAACTGGTGGGATTATAGGCATGAACCATTGTATGTGGCCACATGTAAGGTTACATCTATGTAAGTGTAAATTTAGTCTGTGCTCAATTTCTACTAAATTTCTACCCTGATTATGTTTGGTTTGCTTGCTTTTTGCATCCCAGTGAAACAATTATAAGATACCCACACATAAAACTTGCATTCATAATCTTCTAGAAGAGGCAAGGTAACAGTTCAGTCTAATTAAAAGGTTTATATATCTCACAATGAAAAAAATATGTAATATGGGTTAAACATTTTACAAAGTTAAGTTTATATAAAAGAGACTGAAGCAGGAATACAAGGCATAGTTGATAATAGTTTCAGGAAGTTCCACTTAGTTTAACAGACTTAATCTTATATTCTTAAAACTTGCAGAAAATTTATTATGAAAACTAAAACCAAAGCTTCAGTTGTGCATAATGTAATAAATCATTACAAAAGCTGTCAGGGGAAAGTGGCAATGTAAGAAGGCAGAGTAAGCAAAGGCAAGCTGGAATGTTGATTTCATTCCTCTGACATCCTTCTGGCTTCCTCCTGACTTAGACCGTCATGACACACTGAATGAACTGAAAACAGAGAAGTCATTGTTACCTATAGATCTCAGAACACTTAGCCTACCATGGCCTATAGCTTATATCTGGTTCTCTAACTTGGCATGGTGGATTAATCCCCCGCTCTGCCCCTGCAACAGATATCTAAGATATCAGTAGAAAGGTTCATTTGATGAAGAAAATTCTAATAAAAAATGGATTTCTCACATTTTTGTTGTTGTTTGGGGTTTTGGTGCTGGTATTGGGGATTAAACTCAAGACCTAACGCTCCCACTTGGCTTTTTTGCTCAAGGATAGTGCTCTACCACTTGAGCCACAGTGCCACTTCTGGTTTTTTGCTGATTAATTGGAGGTAATTGTCTCCTGCAGGTAATCGTTTCTCTGGCTAGCTTTGAACCTCTATCCCTGATTTCACTGTCCTGAGTACCTAGGAATACAGGCATGAACCACCAGTACTTGGCCAGTTTCTCACTTTTTGAAGAGATATTACTTTAATGAACAATTACTTCAATCTCCAATTTTAAGTCTAGAAATGGTCATGGTCAAAGGTCCTTCCCCTCAAATAACTGGTTAATGGACTGCCAAGCTGCACAGTTTTAACTCAGTACTCTAATGAAATACATTTAAATATCTCTCCAGTCTTTTAAAATCTGCTTTATTAAAGTAAAACCTAATATGTGAATATGCATATAAACAGTTGACCATTCTCCAGCAATTCAGAAACCTGAGTTAGGGAGTATCAATATTTTCTATAAATGTTCCTCTCACTAGTGGCTCATGTCTCTAATCCAGCTACTCAGGATGCTGAGATCTGAGGATCATGGTTCAAAGCCAGGCTGGACAGGAAAGTCCATGAGACTCTTATCTCCAATAAACTGCCAAAGTAAATAAATAAATAAGCTTGGAGTGGAGCTATGGTTCAAGTGGCAATGCTAGCTTTCAGTAAAAGAAACTCAGGGACAGCACTTAGGCCCTGAGTTCAAGCTCCAGGACTGGTGCAAAAAAGTTCCTTTCCTCCCTGAACACATAGAAAAAGATCTTTGCATCCTATCAATTTTCCTTTGTATTCTCTAATACCAATAAGGCATTTTGCACTGCTAATCCTTCCAGTATTTCCGGAGCTCAAGATGATTAGCCAATTATCTGTATTGTAGAGAAAAGGAAACTAAAGTTCAGGAAATTTAGAAATCTCTTAATTTGCCCTTCCGAGGATGAAATCCAGCCTTTGTCCTCAGCAAATAAGTCACTTTAATTTGTGATTGGCTGGTGGCTGCTTTATGTTCTCAATGAACATAGGTATGGAAAGTATAGTTTTGAGATGTTAAATATATTTCTCAATGATGAAGATGGGGTTTATTTAGAGAAAGCAGAAGCAGACACAATATCAACATGATCCATAGGGAACTTTCCTGAACTGTTCCAACAGCCCAGTGAAAGAGGCATTATGATAACAACATCCTCTTTATTCAATCAGATGCAGAGCCCTCACAGAACCCGCTTAAGATGGAGCTAAGCTGGGTGCCAGCGGCTCACACCTAGACTCCTATCTACTCAGGAGGCTGAGATCTGAGGATTGCAGTTCAAAGCCAGTCCGGGCAGCTAAGTCTATGAGATTCTTATCTCCAATAAACCACTAGAAAACTGGAAGTAGCACTGTAGCTCAAGCAGTAAAGACTCGCCTTGAGCTGAAGAGTGCAGGGACAGCGCCCAGGCCCAGAGTTTCAAGACCCACACCCGACAAAAAAAAAAAAAAAAAGATACAGCTAAAATGGAGGAGACAACAATGCTCAATAGGAAATGTACTCATTACCTTACTTAGGTAACTGTAACCCCTCTATACAGCTTTTTTACAATAAAAAAGTACAAAAAAGCCCATTGGTCTAATAGTAAATAAAGTTAATAAATTTGGATGGTAACTGTTGGTCATTTAATCCATGACTTCTCTTTAAAATCTTTTGGACCTTCTTAACAGTACACTTCCAAGGGGATACCCAGTTTGTGTATTTCATATCCTCTATTTAGCTCTTAATTAACTGAGACTTACATCATCATATGAGAAATTCACAACACCTTGTTGACCAGTATCCCGTCGTCGAAAACTATCTGCAAAACAACAATAAAATGTATTGTTCTTTTCTGTGAAGAACTTTTATAAAATTATTATTGAGTTCAAACATCAATGCATTTAAATGATACAATCAGTCAACATAAGAGACCAAAGCAAACAGATAACTATGAGTAAAATTATACAACCAGTCAACATAAGAGACCAAAACAAACAGATAAGTATATGAGTATGAAGGAGGGCTGGGAATGTGGCTTAGTGCTAGAGGGCTTGCCTAACATGCATGAAGTCCTGGGTTTGATTCCTCAGTATCACACGAACAGCAAAAGCCAGAAGTGGCTCTGTTGCTCAAGTGATAGAATGCTAGCCTTGAGCAAGAGAAGCTCAGGGATAGTGCCCAAGCCCTGAGTTCAAGCTCCAAGACTGGCAAAAAATAAAATAAAATAAATAATAAAAATAAACGAATAAATAAATAAGAAGGTTTGCTTTATTTTTTCTCTTTCCACCTCTTTTCCAGCTTTTCACATTTTAAAGAGTAATCACTCAAAGTCCTACTCTGCTCAAAAAAAGCACAAGTTAGGACTGGAAGTACAGCTCAGTGGTACTGCCTAGTATGTGTGAGGCCTTGTGTTTGATTCCTAGCACCACAACAAGAGAGAGAAAGAGAGAGAGAGAAGGGGGAGATTAAAAAAAGTGCAATAGAAATTACTTAACATTATTTTAGTAGCAAATTACTCACTAAAAAAGTTCTAAAAAACAAAATGATTATGCTAGACATGCACAAGGTTAAAAAGTCAACTGAAGCATCTACTAAAGCAAAAAATAAATAAACAAATAAAAGTTGGGAGAATCAAAGTTCAGAAGTCCTGAGGAATCGAAGCTCATAACCTCATGCATGAATCCTATCCCTGCTGCAGGTGGAAAGATGACCCCCCAGAACACACCTGTGAGAGCCCTCAGTTTGACACAGCAGGCGATGTAGTCATCGAAGGTGATCTTTCCGCTGGTGCTATATCGTTTTGCAACTGAATTCACAGTTTGGGGATTCAACCGAAATCCTGAAAGGCATAAAAACCATCCACCAAACAAAACGAAAACGTTAAGAGCTGCTAGAGAACATTACAATAATGCTCAGGTACAAGACTTGATTTTAGGACGGTGCATTCATTTTAGTTATGAACAGACACAGTTTCTAAGAATAAGACACTGTCTTAAATCAGCACTTTTGGGGAAAACAACCAAATCTACTTCTACCAGAAGTGTGAGTTGCCCGTATGTACCCATTGTTGTCAAGGCCTTCTGCAGTTCTTGAGGATCCACCGTGCCACTCCTGTCGCTGTCAAAACTGATGAAGTGTTGCCTCCAGCCATTCAGTACAGCCCAGAGTTCTTTAAATTCATTGAATCCCATCGTGCCAGACCGATCTCTCTGAACTGCAGTCAAGGATCAGAGTTGCTATGTTTCGCAACATTTTGTAATGACTAAATTAAAAAATAAATAAATAAAAGGAAGGATAAGAGGAATTCATGTTCTTTCTGCTAAAATGGCTTACCAAGTTATTGCACATTCTTCTTGGTATGATATAATGAAAAGATAAAGGATGAAAGATATAATGAAAAGTACAGAAGTGCAGAAAATACTCTGAGAAGTACAGAAGTGCAGAAAATACTCATTTTTCACCCTGGGAAAAAGAGAACCTAAATGGTGTGATTACTGTCTGTAACACTGCATGGTGAGCCACATGTGAAAAGCAATGTTACTACCGGAAATGGGCTCCTTGCATGTTTACTCATCCATCTGTGAGTCACTCTGGCCTCTAACATTCCTTTGCTAAGCCCTTCTAGAGCCAATGACTCCACTTCTGGCAAGTTTGAGCTGGGATGAAAGGCACTGCAGGGTCAGCAATAGCTAACCTGAATCCAACAACTGGATGTGAAAGACATCCTATCACATGAAGTTCAAGGGTAAATTGTGCAGATTAATCAATGTTTTTTTTAAAAAAAAAGATTGGAAGTGTCGCTGTAGCTCAAGTGGTAGAGCGCTAGCCTGGAGCTGAAGAGCTGAGGAACAGCGTTCAGGCCCAGAGTTCAAGTCCCACGACTGACAAAAAAAAAAAAAAGATTTCCTTGGCATATTTGTCTCTTATATACTTGTTCTACTTTGGTGCTTCTGTTTTCTTGAGCAACTAACATTCACGTTCCTATTCACACTAAATTACATCCTAAAGGCTAATTATTTCACAAGGCTTTACCTGTCTTGTGTTTATTGGATATTAATTCTGGGATGAATGCTTTTAGGAAAGCAAGAAAATATACTCTAGATAAGAGTCAAGATAAAGGATACATCCAGCATTGAAACCATCAGCCGACATGTCTCCAGGTTAAAAGCTGTAAAATCCAGAAGAGTACACATGTATAAATACAATCTCAAACACTTATTTACATCAGATACACTCAAATTAAGAACAGGATTATTCATCTACTTTTTAAAACGTACTTCTCAGTATATATGGGAATTTTTTTTTTTTTTTGGTCAGTTGTTAGGCTTGAACTTTGGGGCTTGGGCACTGTCCCTGTGCTCTTCAGCTCAAGGCGAGTGCTCTATCACCTGCACCACAGCGCCATTTCCAGTTTTCTAGTGGTTTATTGGAGATAAGAGTCTCACGGACTTTCCTGCCCAGGCTGGCTTTGAACTGTGATCCTCAGATCACAGGTGTGAGCCATCGGCGCCCGGCTATGGGAAAACTTTTATATGGAGCTTCAAAATAGGGTTTTAGAGAAAAGTATATCTTCTAGAGCCCAAGTCTGATTTTAACACCTTTAAAATAATAATTTTAAAAGTACTGTATGGAAAACTTCTGTTTTCCTGCCTTTGCAACTATAATGTACTTATGATGTAGTATACTCACCAGAGTGGGTGGGAAAATGGTGTTGCTTTGTTACTGCTAATAAATACTTACATGTAATTGGTTTTGGTATTTTGGTTTCAAGTCATTTTGCTATATTTTCCCTTTAACATCAGGTACTAAGCAGTAACCTTCTATGACCTCTTTTCTTATACAATAAGCTTATTATATATGAAACCAGATAAGTCATCTTGTCAGAATTGTGTGCATGGAAGCCCTCTGGAGTAGAACCCAATGAGCAGTGCAGGTGAGCATGGTTCAGGAGCCTTTTTAGTTTGCCTGTAACTTGCAAGAATTCTGAGGACATTTTAATATCTCCCTTACTCCAAAGCCAAACTGAAATACAACCAATGAGCAGTTCACTGATAATCTAAGTATTAAGAAAAAGCAGAGCCCTGTACATGCAATTTATTACAAAAGTGGAAGTGGATTACAAAACAGAAGTAAAAAGAATCAAATGGGAAAAGTGAGTACAAATTTTTCAGGTGTAACAGAACTAACATTCCTTATAGCTCCTTCTGACTCCACTTCCCCACTCGCCTTAAGAAACTGAAATAAGAACACAACTCAAAAATGTTTATTGTACTTTCTTCAAACTTCCAAAGTATGGGTTTTCTACATTCAATGAATCACTATGATTAGCATATCCATTCCCAGAAAGAAAGGATCAGCAACTCTTTCTATATTATTAGTCCCTCAATCTCTTTGACCCATACCATACATACAATTCTCTGAGGTGAGAGAATGTAGCAACACTTTTTTACATTTTGAGAAAACTGCACCAAATCTTCACTCACACTTTTCAATTGTATGGGGTATGAAGGCTTTCTAATCTAAAACCATAGTTCTCCATCTTCCTCTTAGCAGAATCACAGAGTTATTAAATCAGAATCTCAGAATGTGGGATCCAGGTACTAGTATTTTTTGAGTAAAAGCTTCTCATATGATCCCAATGAACACAGCAATGCCTGGACCACCATTCTATTTCAAGTGTGATTCTTGCATTACAATCCCAGGATTTCACCTGGGAGCATAACAGAATTACTTTCAGCAAAGGCTAACACTGTAAAATTTAACAAGGTTCTCAGGTTAGCCTGAGGATCCAACTTTGTGATGGTCAACTTGGACAAACATCACATGAAAACCTGTTAGGAGAAAGTTCTCAAGTCTTGTCCCAGAACTGCGAATGAGAAAGTACAGGGCAGGGCCTAGCAATCTGAGTTTTGCTGGGTGATGTTGATGCTACTAAAGTTTAAGAACTATCACTCTGGACAGCTTGAGAGCCACAGGGAAAAAAAAAGCGCATTGTTTTTGGCTTACACCTAGATTTTGAAGGGTTGTAAAGCAAATATATTCTCTGTCTCCAAGTTTCATGAACGACACCACTATTCACCTAGCAGCTGCCCAAACTAGACATATGAGAGCATACCTAATACCTTCTCCCTGAAATTCAATCACCTTTGAAATAGCTACTGGCTCCATGATTATTTCCCTGGATAAGTTAGCATTGCTCTAACCTGTAACTTCATGGGACCTCCAACCAGGAGCCCTGATTTAGTTTTACTCAACTTCTGTGAACAGCAGTTCCCTGAAGAATCTGTAGCTACTGCAATGGCTTTGTCTGACAGGGGCATTGTACTTGTGGAATGACGGAATGTTGTAGGTCTCCAGCCAGAATTACCTTGAACTCTCTTAGGTCAGAATCAATTACCTTGAATTTTGGATCTGAGCTAAATATTCTCTCAACTAATATATCATTCAGAACATATCACCAGCCTTAGCAGACTTCTAGTATCCATTAACTCTGGCAAGAATCTATAATGTCTTAACTGTGTAGAAGAGTTCTCGCTTTTCTGTAGTCCATTTATTGGACACCTCTACCAATGGAATTGGTCTATGATTTTCTCTTGTTCTGTGACAACACAAGGTGATGTTATTTCTTCCATAGTAGAAGGTAGCATTTAGGATCACTTGAGACCGTGGTCCTGTGCCTTGGCTACTCATGTTTCACTCAGAATGAACGCTTATTTCCTTTCAAGGACTTTAAAGGAAAGGACTTTAAGACAACACCATCAATTTAGACTTTACAGCCAGGTATGACATGTGTTCTCTATAAAAACCTTATAAGGCTGTCAAGTACACATCAGATGAAAGGTCAAACAACTCCCTGGCACATAGGTCATTCATTTATTTCCTTGGTTCAGCTAGTCTTATTCTTCACCAGTTCCCAGCCACTGTAACTCACTGGGAATTTCTCACTCCCATGACTAAAGCATGCTCTTTCTGGGCACATAGATACTGTTTGGACTATCTGGAATCCCCCTCCTTCTACCCCACTTCCTGGCCAGCACCATTTCTGCTGGACTTTCACTTCTCCTTTGTCTAGGTATCAGTACTGCAGGAAAACTCCAGTCTGGGATATGTGATTGATCCCACAGCCTCTGTACTTTGCTCAGTGCTTTCCACAGTATCTAACTGGCGTTGTATGTGACTGCCAACCCAGCCCCTCATAAATATCCACTGAAGTGGTTGGATGGATGGATGGAATGATGTGGGGGATGAGACTGAATTTTTACATACCCCTGTAGTTTAGATGCATTTCTTTCTCATATAGGCTGAAGGGAAATGTGTTTCTTTTAAAAAAACAAAAACATAAGATATTCTGGTGTTCAAGGATACTTAAAAATAATGAATAGGTTTAAATCAAAATACAAATAAAGTTGTAGGATCATGACTTTTCCAAATACATTAGCTGAACAGACACCTAATGAGCTCTTATTATGTGCTTAACCCATCTGCCCACCCACTTTGAGTCTGTGAATTTCTGTTTGGAAGCTGGGTTTAAAAGACCAATAGCTATATAATTTCTGTATAAAGAAAGTCCAACAGCACATGAGTGGAGTGGTTTATGATAGCCAGCAGTGGACATTAAACACATCAATGAAATCACACAGTCCTTGTGTCTCAGAAAATGTCTTCTCTATAATGCACTGACTCAAGGTCATCAGTAGATGCAGCTTTCTGAAAATTCTTTCTTTCTTTATTTTTTTGAAAATTATTTAAATGACTACTCTCTAAAGATACACAATCCATTTTGTTGATGAAATTTATTTTCCTTAATCTGCTGCACCTCTTCTACTGAAAGTGTAAATAATAAGTCTGTGTGTGACACCTTGCCTTGGTAACCCTAATGCTGTACCTTCCTGCTTGCCTTCTCAGCTGTCTGAAGTTAACAAGGAACAATTTAAAACTATTACCTATACTACATTGCCCCTACAGAGTGTTTTTTTTTTTTAGGACAAGATTAAATGACACAAGTTCAAAAGATTCTTCTCTTTTGTATTAATTCCACCAACCAGGAAATAGTAACAGGATACCAAGTCACTCTGAAAACAAGGGATGATAAAGACAGGAACATAAATAGTTCAGACGGCCATCTAGAAAATGTTCCAGGTCACACAGTCAAAAATGGCACTATAAAATACTCGACTATGAATTCTAGTTTGAACATCTCAGCTCACAGCTTATCTTGAAACTGGGGCTTCTGTCTGATGTTCTGACTCAGTTATCAACTGGCAAAGAATTTGGCAGGTTACAAATTTGAGCTAACATACTAGTATCCAGCCTAGAAATCTGTCATGGGCAAGATTATATTTGAAAACAAAGTACAAGGTATGTATGTGAGGATGAGGTATCTATGCAATATTTATCTTCCAATTTGCTATGGCAGACAGCTCAAAAAGAAGGAGGGTGGGGAAAAGCACTGCATTACAGGGCAGCTGATGCAGTACAAAGGAATCGAGGAGAGGAGAAAGACAAGTGTGAGCTCAGGAAGTAGAAAGAACACTTCCTCCTCAGCCTGAGCAAATGTTCTGAAATGGGAAGAGGACAGGAGAGACCTGGGGAATGTCCTGGCAAACACTCATACTTCTAAATGCATAGCCAGAGGTTAGAGACCATTCAAAACCCTAAGTGCCACTAGGCTTAGGGTGGAGTAAGCTCTGGCAACCTGTCAGCAGTAAATGTTGGTGCCTATCCTTAATGACACTAGACTAAGTAGAGTTTAATATCTTGATTTCTGTGAAGATGGACACCCAAATTTGACTCACTTGAATGGTCTCACATACATGAAACCCAAATCCAAGAAATCTACTAACCTGCCAGGCAGGGCAGACTGATTTGTTAAGAATTATTTTTAAATAGACTTTTTTTTTTTTTGCTGGCTGTGGGGCCTGAACTCTGGGCCTGGATGCTGTCCCTCAGCTCTTCAGCTCAAGGCTAGCACTCTACCACTTGAGCCACAGTGCACTTCTGTTTTTTTTCTGCTTATGTGGTGCTGCAGAATTGAACCTAGGGCCCCATGCATGCAAGGCAAGCACTCTACCACTGAGCCACCTTCCCAGCCCTTAAATAGACATTTTAAAATAGCAGCCTAATTTAGCTTCTGAAATTCTCACAGTGGGTGAGTCAGAAAAGCTGTTATTTTAAATGCTGTGATCATATGTAGCAGCTGCGATGTGAAGATCAAGTAATTTTAGAGAAACTTTAGGAGTGGTCAACTTACGTTTGTATCCTCCAGCAATGCCTGACTGGGTCAGACATCTCTGCAACTCATCAGCATCAATCTGTCCATCCTTTCGAAAGACACAGGAAGAGGGATCACTATCATGACTTTACTTTCAGGTTCTCTCAAAGTCTCTTAGTATTCCACCCAGCAGTAACAAACAGAATTATCATCATGCATGAGGTACTTTATGCAAGGAATGCCTTCTAAAAGTGAGCATCTTGGCAACCATTCTTCTCTCTTTCTGAACCTCTAGAAAACTACTAAAAGCAAGCATTTTAAAATAAAACTATTTATAGAATTCTTGTTTTCTTGGTACTTGAACTCAAGGTATGGGCATGGGCCCTTTGCTTTTTTGTTCAAGATAGTGCTCTATCCCTTTAACCACAGCTCCACTTCCAGCTTTTCCACTAGTTAATTGGAGATAAGTGTCTCACGAATTTTCCTGCCTGAGCTGGCTGTGAACCATGGAGATCTCAGTCTTCTAAGTAGCTAGGATTACAAACACGGGATTACAAGCTAGGATTACAGCGCTTAATGATTTATGGGGTCCTTAAAATTATTTTCCTCATCCCAGAAGGGAGAAGGAGGGTGCACAGCAGAAATTAGTAAATGTAACACTTGGTTCAAAAAGAATATTCCTCTTTTATCACCTTAGGACTTAGTGGATGATTTTCTTCAGAGCACAATTCCATGTGGAAGGTACAAGTTAGGTTTCCAGTACCTGCTTACTGGCTAAATTAGGTCAGAACTTGAATAATTTTTAAAGAGAATTTAAAAATCAAATATCCAAATCCACAAGTCAAGGAGTACTGTAAGTTATAAACAAGGAGCAGGGTTAATAACCTAAAAGATGATGAATGCATGGAAGAGAGGCCAGGGGTGCTGAAAGCTAAGCAGGTAGAGTCACTTACAGGCTGGAGGCCCTGGCAATCTAAGAATGCTAGTCTTAAGGTGTGCTGTTTCTTGTGGTTTTAAAGATACAGATCAGTAACAGATTCAACAGATACTGAAGGGGAAAGTCTTCCAGTGTTAGACTCAATTTTCCATTCAACTTCTCAAAGCTGTATTCCTTAGAAGGCCTTTGGTTTCTATTCTGCAGTATTGTTCACAATATTTTACTAGTTTGAGTTTTTGAATTAAACAAGACTACACTAGCAAACACAAATATGCCCTCTGGCTATGGCTGTTATGGCAACAGTACAATTATGACAGTGACCTTGTGAGTTAGGCAACCATCCTTCCTAAAGCAACCCCACAGCTGTCCTACAACTTGTGAATGGAGAGAAGAGGGACAGGGGAGTGAACCTCAATCCTGTCTCTGGGTCAGCAAGCCACCACAGCTAGGGAGAGCAGAACTGACCTAATGCAAGAATCTTATCCAATAAAGTAAGCCTGCTCACATATTAACTTCTGCTGACAGTGAATTTCTTATTCAGAAAAAGGTGCTTTTTTGTTGCTTTTATTTACTACACATACTTACTTTGTAAATAACAAATTCAACTGAAAGTGTCATTAGGACCTGGCTATATAATCATGACTACAAGTTTGTAATTAGACAAACAGGGGCTTGTGTTAATCAGATCTGGAATTTCTTCTCAGGAAACCACTCTGGGCCCTGACGATTCGTTTTTTTATTTTTCAATTTTAATTTTATTTTTTAGTATTTTTAAATTTTATTTAAAAAAATTTTTTGGGGGGGGCCTGAACTCTGGTCCGGGGCACTGTCCCTCAGCTCTTCAGCTCAAAACTAGCGCTCTACCACTTGAGCACAGTGCCACTTCCAGCTTTCTCTGTTTATGTAGTGCTGAGGAAACAAACCCAGGGCTGCATGTGTGCAAGGCAAGCATTCTACCACTGAGCCACCTTCCCAGCCCTGACGATTTATTTATTTATTTATTTTTGGGGGGAGGTAGTGGTGGGGCCTGGGTGCTGTCCCTCAGATCTTCAGCTCAAGGCTAGCGCTCTACCACTTGAGCCACAGCGCCCAGGACCTCATGCATGCGAGTTAAGCTCTCTACCACTGAGCCACCTTCCCAGCCCCTGACGATTCATTACATCTTTCTATCCTGTAGATCTTCAAAGGATATTTTTAAATGCCCTATTCTGTTTAACCTTACATGAGTTCACCCACAAGTTTACTTCGGAACTGCTCTATCCTAAGTACAGGGTAAAAAAATCTGTTCTCACTCCTTCTGAATATTATCATTAATAATAATAATAAAAAACCAGAACCTTAACTCTCCCATCTACACTCCAGGGCAAATGATTCATTTCCAGGATAAGTTTGGTTGTGTGTGTTTTAATTTTGCCCGGGACCCTAACGCACAGAACGCGACAGTTCTTGACTATTACAAGGAAAAGCCCAACCTGTCCAGCAACAGCAGCAAAGTAACCATACAGCGGATCCTGGGTCTGTCCGGGGAACGCAGGCCCTCCGGGAGCCCCTCCGTACTGTGAAAGAGGAAACACAAAACCATCATTCCATCCGCCTGCGGCTTCCGTGCAGAGCCCGGGCAACGGCGGGCTGTCCTTCCCGGACCTTTCTGGTCCCCCACGCCTCAAGCCAGCTGCAAGACCCCGTCCCCTAACTCCACGCCCGCTCCTCGGGAACTTCCCACCTGGAGACTTGAACCAAAGGCGGGCGTAACCAAAACATGAGCCAAGCGCGCGCTGCTTAAACAGCATCCCTATAATTTGTAGGCTGGGGGGGGGGGGGGGAACCCAGGCTGGCAACTGGAGGGCGGGCCCCTCCTTTTCTCCTTTACAACTTTCGGGGTTCGTAAAAAACACGTGAGGCGCCAGGCGGGTGGGTAGGGCACTGAGAGGTGTGGGAGGAGGAGGAGGGGGAGGGGGAGGAGGATGGAGGGGGAGGAGAGGGAGGTGGAGGAGGAAGAAATAGAAGAGGAGGGAAGACCAGGAAGGAGGACTAAGAAGGAGGATGGAGGAGGAGGAGGGGGAGGAAAGAGGAGTAAGGAGGACTGAGGAGGAGGAAGAAGAGGAGGAGGATGTGGAGGAAGAGGAGGAGGAGGAGGGAGGAAGGAGGAGGAGGGGAGAAGAGGAGGGGGGAGGAGGGAGAGGAGGAGGGGGTGTCCGGGCTGCGGGACTCCGCGCATCCCGACGCCGTCGGGCGGGGCGCCTTCTACCCGGGCTACGAGCCCGGGGTGTTCCCCCCTCCCCACGGGTCCCCCCACTTCATTTTCGTTTAAAAGGAGTAAGGGAGACCTCAGGACGGTTCTTGATCAAAATGGCTGTTGTTGTTTTGGGAGGAAACCAATACCAAGTCGCACACTTTCCTGCCGTGTTTCCGGGTCACAGGGGCTGGGAGGGCATTGGGTCTCCGGGCCGCCCGCGCCCTAGCCCCGCGGGGTCACCCGCGAGGGAAAGTTCCGCGACCGAGGGGCCGCCGGGGGGCGAGCGCTCGGGGAGCAGCGGGACCGGGGATCTGCCCCGCCGGGGTCTCCTCCTCGCCCGCCGCAGCGCCCCCAGAAGGCTTCTCTGCGCCCCCCCTCCCGCACCCCAAGGTGACTCTTGGAGGCACGCCCGTGAGGGGCAGGACTTACCCCGCCTGGGTAGTACCCGCCGCCGGCGCCAGGGTGCCCCGGGTACGCCATGGTGAAGATTGCGCCGCCGCCCTGCGCGCCCGGCGCGCCCGGCCTCCC